TGATGAATTTGTTGATAGATTTTGTTTATTACCAATTGATGTTAAAAATAAATTTAAATCTGAATGCATGGGTGATGATAAAGTTGATGATTGTTGTTGCATTATAGTTAATGATGATATTGGTGATGATTCCGTAATATTATTCGTATTATTATTTAAAGTTGAAGTTAAATTTGTTTGACTTGCACTTGTTAACGATAAATGTTCATTAAATACTAAATAATCATCACTTCCTGGTGTTTGAAGTGATGATGGTGAAACAATATTTATATTATTTAATGGTATTGATGATGATGAACGTTTATATTCATTTCATTCAATAACTGATTTATGTTTTAGATTTCTTAATGAGGTAGCACGTGATAATGAATATAAATCTGTAGGTACACTATGTTGTAACAGATAAATCATTTGTATTTTAATATTGTTTATTAGATTGTTTTTGTTGTCCACAAAAATCAAATGGATAGAAAAATTCCTCCATCATCTAAATCATCGTGCAATCGATTAACATGTTCAAATATGAAATGTAAATATAAAACATGTAAATCAGGATGAAATAATGAACGACCAAATGATGATTGTTCACTAAGACGAAATGAACTTTTAAAAAGTTGTTCACCTAGTACAAGTGTATAATAATTTGTTGAACCCCCAAGACATGCACATGATAATATATTAGAATTTGTTGCTAAACCAACATAAGATAAACGTTTTAAATTTGTTGATATTGTTGGAATATTTAATATTTATTGAGATTTAAAATTATAAAGAAAATGAAGTCGTTGGGAATGTTGATCATGTCGGCGAAGAAGTTCTAATTGTTCATTTATTGTAGTAGGTGTTGGTGGATGACATTCAAATTTTGCATTAATACGTAATTCAGGAACACTTATTGAACCAGCTTCTAACCATGAACCAGGATAAAGACGTAATAATTGTCGAATTTGTATTGTATCAACTTTTAAAGTTAAACTTTCATTACATAATGATGTATGCATATTACACATACATAAACGAATAGGTGCTATCTAAAACAACAAAATTATGAACGACGAAGAAATATATACAGAATATTTCTTACTTGAATATCAATAGCATTTCAAACTTAAATGAGATTAAAATCAATCTAATCTAAACTAAATCTAAGTACGTCATATTTAAGTTTTCAATCCATTTTGCTTTATCAATATATGGTGAACGACCAAGTGTATATTCATCTTCCATTATTTGTAAATAAAAATTTTTAATAAAACCTAAGGCTTTTTTCAACTAAAAACAATAGAATTGTATTATTTACAAAAAAGAATATTTTTTTTGATTTCTTACTTGAATTGTTGTTCAACGAGCTGAGATTTTACCAAGTATAATTTCCATTTGCCAAGCATATTCAAGTGTTTCACGTTCATGTGGTAAACCTTCTTGTGAAAGCATTGCAAGACCACGAATACTTAGACCAGATAATTGAAGACATCCAGTAGATAAATGTTGATCTGTTTTATTTCTCTAGATGAAAAAGAAAAAAATTGTTAGAGTTATTCAGAGATCGATAAATATATCATTCATATTTATTGATTTAATTAGTAAGATCAAGATAGAAATCAGAAATAATAGCTTAGCATGTTGAAATTCGATAATCTCACTTAAGTGACTTAGTCTTTAGACTATTTTAATAACTAAGTAAATTTGAAAAACATACAATGATGAGATAAACACTTGAATATCATTGTTTGGACTTATCTATTTGTCAGTAGATGAGTAATCAAGAGTTTTTGAGATCATAAATATTTTTCTCAAATGATCTTATTCAAAAATTTTTAAAACGAAAGCATTACTAGCTATTAGTCAATGGAGCTATTTAGTTTTCTGCCATATATCAACAAATAAGCTGGTTTGATCGGTTCAGATGAAAGTTACATATCTTCTTTGTCGCATGTAACGAATGTTTAGAGATTCCAATCGATTTTTATTAAATATACTTACGACAATCGAATCTTCGACATAAACATTAACTGGTAGAAAAAAAATACTTGTAACCTTGTTTCATCAAGATCAATTGTCAATTCAAAGCAAAGTCGTTCACAAAAAAGTTATTGGACATGGTTCATCATCCGTATGCTAAAACAAAAGATTTTATTAAAAGAACCAAATAATTCTTTTCATTTACGATTTTTATGGAGAATGCATCCTATTCCGCGATGTTGAACATTGGAGGAATCAGTTCCGCACCGGAATCGATTCCGTCCAATTCCGGGAACTCGATCGACACACAACATAAGACACCCAGTCGAGATTGATCGAGTTTGACCGATTCCGGAATTGCGTGAACTACTTCTAATTACGGAATTACACGGAATTCCTACCGATTCCGGAATTGGACGGAACTCAATCAATTTTCAAGTGGGTATCGAATATTATGTGTCGATCGAGTTCCCGGAATTGAACGGAATCGATTCCGGAGCGGAACTGGTTCCTGAAATGTTCAACATTGCGGAATAGGATGACTGCTCTTTTTATGTTAGATGAAACGGAATATTTGGATGAATCTAGTAGAAAATAAATAAATGAACATATTTTCATAAAATAAGTTAAATTATTAAATACATTAATAGTTTGTTTTGGATGTCCAGACTTTTGCAAATGCAAAAATTTTCTAATTGACCATTAAACTAATTAAAAAATAAAAATCTCTACCTTATTCTATTAGATTTGTTAAATTGAAGATTCATGTTAAATATTGATGTATTTTGTGGAGCATTAAAATGTCTATTAGGAATACTTGAACTTGTTTTTTTAAACATCATGAAATAATAAATGTTGAATTTGATAATAAATTAAAATTTATTTCAATTAATTGAATTATTAAATAAAGAAATTTAGGATTTTCATCTTGAGTTATATAATTATTGTAAAAGTCAATTTGAGAATGATAAAGTTCTTAACCAATTTGTTGTCTTTAAAAATTAAACCGAATTTTTCATAAATACTTGTATCTTCTTGTAAATCTTATTTTTTGAGAAATATATTATGATGATTTTATATGTTTAGTTTCAATTTGTTCTTCTTCTTGTTGAGTATTATCAATTTTTAGAATTTGATAAAAAAAAATTTCATTAATAAAATGCATAATTATTCATTCCACTGGAATCATTTTGTGAATTTAAAGGACAATTAATTAATGTTACAAAGGATAAATATTCTAATAAAATGATTTTATTAATTAATTCATTTTTATCATTTTAAATAAAATGACTCGCTCAATAGTTATCAAATGTAATTCGATGTTGTTTAATAGACGAAGAGTTTCTGTTATCACTTGAATCTGTATTCATTTGTAATTTTCTTAAATCCATTAAAATAATTTTATTTGAATATGAATTCATTAGAGTAAGTATTTGTGGAGCATTTAATGTAAAATCCATTTTACATTCAATTGAATGTTCATTATATTTTTGTAAAATTGAGGAAAGAAAGCTTGGTTCATCACAAGATGTATCTTTATCTTTTTGTTGTTGTTGATTTGCTTGAAACGAATTAATTAATGATGATAATATAAGTTGAAGATATTTATAAAGAAAAAAAAAATTTGATTTTTGAATTTGATTTTTAATAAATAAATATTGTTCTACAGTTTTCTTTTCATAAATGAATGAAGATAAATCAAATGTAATTAAATCATTTCGTTTATTTTCTTCTAAAATAATATATTCATAACGAGATTTTATCTAAAGATGAATAACATCTTGAGGATATGTGGGTGAGTAGGATAGATATAACATATCCTTCTATTGAACCATTTGATTCAATATCATAAGTTTTTATATTTACTGATGTTTCAATTCAAATAAAATATGTAAAAATTCTTCTATATAGTATCCTAAATCTAATAATGCACATAACAAAATAATATCAATCTAAAATAAATGGATCAGTTTTAATTTCAATTTGTTTTTCAATATTTTGCTTTTCATCTTGAAGAATCTTTTGAACAGATACCATTTTTTCAATTGTTTTGTATTGTTCTTTTGTATTTGTTAAATATTTTTTATCTTTTGATTTTAATTTCTAATAGTTTTAAAAAATAATATAGAATAAAACTAAAGTAAAAAAAGAACAAACTTGATCTTGTTTTTGATCAAATGTTTGTGGATATAAAATTTTTTTCATTAATTGTAATAAACTAAATAAATGTGTATCAAACATTCGACATTTAATCGGTGAAATATTTCCATTTGCTTTCCTACTCAAAATAAATAATAAATAATCATCTCTCATTTTCTTTTTCGTACTAGATACAAGAATTTCATAATACTCCGAAGAATCTTGATCTATGCTTCATTTCATAAACATTTATAGAAAAAAAGCTTCTTAGTTACTTTGAATATTAATATCTTACCTCTAAGTATTAAACAGGATAAATGTCTGTTATTTTACTTTTTTCTCAAACTTAAATACGAGACTCCAGTTGTATTATATCATTAATGTAAGACGTAATAATCCTGTCGTAGTATATAGTAAATGGATATATCGTTCAATGCATTCACCGTTTGCGCAATCACATACCTGGATCACCATACGCTTTTACTTTACCTTAAAATATGAAAAAGGTAAATGCATATTGACTTATTGCTTCACTGATTTTAAACACAATAGCGCTATCGTATTATACGGTATATAGATATATCGGTCAATGCATTCACCATTTTAATAATCACATACCTTGTTCACGATACACTTTTATTTTACCTTAAAATATGAAAAAGGTAAATGCATGTTGTCTTACTGCTTCACTGATTTTAAACACTAACGCTATCGTATTATACAGAAAATGGATATAACTTTCAATACATTCACCATTTTAATAATCACATACCTTAGAATACGAAAAAAGTAAATGCATATTGTCTTATTCTTTCACCAAATTTTTTTTAAATATTTATTTTTATTGTCTTTATCTACTGAAATTGACAAAATAAAATCAAAAGAAGAAATAATAACAATAAGAAGAGATACAAAAGAAAGAATAGTGAGATGATAGATGAACATAAATTACATTGATTAGTGACATCTTATACAGTTTAGCATGTAGAAGAGGATAGAGAGAATACAATCAGTTGATAATGGTGTACAGAAAAGAGAGAAGGAGAAGAAAAAAAATTTATCGATATATTAATATTTATTGAAATGATATAGTGCTTAGCACATCATTTATGGAAGTCGGAATGTATCCTGAAGGTTTTGTTAAAAGATATCTATATATGAATGAACATAAGGAAAAAGAATTATATTTAAAGTACCCATATTGTTGATAGTAGTTATTTATAAATTCTATTAGATCAATTTTCGAGTGTTTTGCTCTTATCGGTAGTCGATTGAGAAATTTACTATTCTTACGCATACTCATGCTATAACACTATGTCTTTTGGGATGTTTTTGAAGCAAGATAAGCGTTAAAAGATAGTTGATATCGGTAAGCTTCTGCAGAATGACTGAGATGTTTATGAATTTATACCAATATTTATATATATAGTCATTGAGTGTAAGTTCTTTAGTAAGCGTGTATATCGTTAAATCATTCCATAGGTTTAAATTATAAGTTAGACGAAGTCCGGTACAGTATGTGAGTTCGATTAGTCTCTGTTGAATTTCAGTATAAAAAAACCAATACGAAAATAGTCCAATTATGTGTAATAGAGCATATGCAAAAATACTTTCTTTTTTAACTTAATGAGAGAGATTGATATTTTTTAAATAGAATGCGAAGAGAATGATATCTTTTTCTAAGTTTCTCTAATCGATTTTCAATATAAACTCCCCAGCCAAGTTTTGTAGTTATTTCGACTACCAAATATTTGAAGCGTTTAACAAAATCTATTTTACAACTTTTATATTCGATTTTACGATACAACGGAGTAATAATGTCATGTACTAGTAGCGCTTTTGTTTTATTGATGTTGGTTGAAAGTAAGCTGTCGTTTCAAATCACTAGTTTTAGATGCAATAACCCTGTCATATTATAAAGTAAATGGATTTACTTTTCAATGCGTTCACTATTTTAGCATTAACATGCATTGATTACAATACGGTTTTATTTTACCTTAACATACGAAAGAGATAAATACATATTTTTTTCTTGCATAATAGATATATTTTGAAAGTTTTTACATTCTTTAGGAGTTTTGAAAATTTTCAGATTATTTCAGTATTTTGAAAGATTTTAGATTTTTCGAGTTTTTGGAAGTTTTTAAATTTATTTGACTATTTTGGAAGTTTTGGAATTTCCTAAAACTCGTATAAGGCTTAATACGAATAGAACTTCAGTAGCACTTCGAAAAACTACTAGAAATATCGTTACATATAATGTGGACTGCACAAAGCTTGTAACGACGTTTAGGCTAATCTGGAGTTGACGCAACGTGAAGCCACCTATCTGGACCATATTTTTAGATATTTGGATATATATCTGATTACGTCGACGTTCATATTATGCTTAGAAACAAACTTTTACTGTTGTTCAACAAGTAATTGGGTTAAAAATCATGAAAATTCTAGTTTTTTCAAATCGAAAAATCAGCTGTAATCGAAACGAACTAATAATCTATATGAAAGACTTGAAAAGAATTCAATTTTTGTTTTCTTTTTAATATACGAATCAATTTAATTCGTCAACTTAGAAGAATTGATGAAGTTTGAAATGTTTATTTGATTTAACTTCGTTATGAATTCATATGGATCATTTTTATTACCATTTTTTTTCTTTATTTCTGGCTATGTTCTTAAGTCAATTCATGGGTTTCATACAAAATTATCTTATTGTATATATAAAATAAATGAATTAATATCACTACATGTTCTCTATCAATTTTTATATACAAACATTTGTTATATATTGAAAACATATTTATCGATTAATTTATTAACAATTTATTGGAACATAGATTTCTTAGACTATTTAATCTTTCAACTTCTAAAACCATTCTTTAGGGGTACTTTCAATATTTTCAATGCTATAGTTGGTTTGTATCGGATTTATAGATGAAACTTATTATTTTTCAACTTATCTACATTAATGAACAGAATGATAAAATGATTGATTTTATATATTTAATCTGTTTTTTATTGATTACATCAATTCATTCCAAGAATCAATCAGTATTGTCAGAAACTCTTCTCTTCAACAAAATACATTTAAGCTTATTTTCATTCGAATATCATGTGGTTTGTTATTTTTTTTTGAGGAATGATCTATTATGTACATATTGAAAAATATCAACAGTTACTATTTACAAGAAGAAACTTTTGTTTAGCTTTTATTACTTATATATTTTTGGTTGATCAGTATTATAAATATAGTATTGAATATTTATATTATAATACTGAATTTAAATGTACATCATTTTTGATACCTATTTTACAATCGATTGTTGATATTTATTGCAAAATGTGTCTCAAAATGTATTGATGATAATGGTATTTTACTTATAATTAGTAATGAAATATATCCTATTATGTGTTAACATATGTGTATATATTTTATTCCAAAATATTATAATAATTGTAGTGTTTGATGATGAATATTTTGAAGTTTTGAAAGTCAATGCAAGTCCATCGATATAGCTCAGAAATGAACTGAACTCTTTTCATTAGTTTGAGTACACCAATGCCAACCTTTCAGTTATTTATATTCGTCAATTATTACAAAAAAAGACTAAAGTAACTTCAAATGAATTGAAGCTTTAAACTTACATGTCTTGCTCATCTTTTGTACATTAGAATAGAAAATATGTAATATGAATAGTTTTTTATAATCACAACTTATTTTCAGTATTATTTAACTAGAAGAAAATTATTTGTACTCACTTATTTTTGTGTTGTATGGTCTTCGCATTGTACTTTTTTTTGTTAATCTTCTATTTTTCATTTATTCTATTCTTTTCATTAATTCAATTCTTATCTTAATAAAATCATAGTCAAATTTAACAGACTGATTGTTTTTTTATTTATAACACTTAAACTTTTCGTTAAAGAGTTAGTTGAAATCATTATTGTTCGCTATATTTATAACTTTTGTTTACTTTTAATCTAAGAAACTGTAGGCCTTTTTCACAAAGGTGATACTTTGTGAACTAGTAGTCACTTCGAGACTAACTGAAAAATAAAATTATCCATGTACGTCAAATACTTTACACCATAAAATCAATATTTATGAAATCAATTTGAACCATTATATTTTCATGTGTACTCATGTGAGATATTAGTATATGACTGTTCACGTATTGTTTTAGAATAGTTTAACAAATATATCTGAATATTTTTGAATTGTTGTTATATCACCATTCTGGTATTATTAAGATATTCAGGAATGTGTCACCTACAGTTCGATGACGTTTCTTCAGTGTCTACAACTGTTCAGATAAAAGAACGAAAATAAGCAATTTAAATTAGATTTCGTGTTTTAATTTTGAATAGAGCATATATATATATATATGAAGCTGCTGATCAAATATTACCAGTATCAGACTGTTACTAATCTCACAAAGGTATAAACCATAATAATAGTAAAATACAGATTTATACTTTATTGTGTGGGTGTGAGTATGGATTGAGACAAAAGACATCCTTACCCACACCCTCAGATAATCATTGATTTATTTTTGAAAGTTTCCTGTGTAATAAATTATCTTCAAGTATAATTCGCATCAATGTCTCCTTAGTCTCTCTTGTCCTTATAGCTCATTTATAAAGTTCGGAACATAGTAGTTACTACTATATAAAAGAAACAAGATCTTTCAATACACTTTTAAAAATACTAGATAGCACACGAGTCGAAGCACGATTTCGAAATAACGATTTTAGTAGAAATTTATATTATCGAAATCAATAATTCAAACTATCATGCGTTGAAAGAACACTGATAATTCATTTTTTAATTACCTAGATGATTCATTATCTTTTTATCAGCTGCAGTTTCAGCTGTAAGACAGTTGTTAGAGAAAAGTAACGCCTAACTTTTGCTTTTGCTTTTCGTTTTAATTATCTCGAAATTTAAATTTAAAAACTCGCGAACGACTAAATAAATGCTTTTCTTCATATCGCATTTAATATGCTCATAAGTATCAAGTATTCCTGTTAACAATATGATACAATTTTATAATCAATTGATTGACTATAATACAGTACAAGTATATAAAGTAAAAAAATACGATCTAATTTTACATTAATATATTTTCAATAGCAGAAAATAAAAGAAAATCTTTTATTACAGATGGCGCTGAATTGTGTTGACATAAAATTTAACTTTATAAAATAACAAAAAGATTTTTCTATAATTTTAGTTCAAAACTAAAAATTATGATTTTATACATAAAATTCAAGTCATTTCATGTATTATTCGTTCATTCAAATTAATGTATGAGTCATCATCATCTATGTTAGATCATAAAGCTGCCGTCTGTTAGTTATAGTCAATCGTTTTGAATAAAATCGAACAAGGAAATGTTTCCAACACCTGATTTATCTCATTTTACACGAAATGATTATAATGAAATTTATGAACCAGATGCTGATTCATTTCTACTACTTGATGCACTTGAATTAAAATTAAATAAAATTCTTGAACAAAAACCTTTTATTATTCTTGAATTTGGTTGTGGTTCAGGTTTAGCAACAACATTTATTGCAAAACATTTTTGTCCGACATCATGTCTTTTTTTTGCTATTGATATGAATCCATATGCATGTTATTCAACTCGAAGAACATTTCATCAAAATAATGTTCATAATAAACATTGTTTAAATATAATACAATGTAATCTAGGTGATCCTTTAATTGATCGTTTATCATCAAAAATTGATTTAATACTTTTTAATCCACCTTATGTTCCAACTGAAACATCAGATGTTAAAGAAGTTATTGAAAGAACATATGCAGGTGGAAAACAAGGTATTGAAGTTATAGAAAAAGCTATTGAACAAGCAAGTCGTTTATTATCATCTAAAGGTTTATTTTATATGGTTGCATTAGAAGAAAATAATTTTGATACATTAAAAGAATTAGGTAATCAAGTTGGATTAAATATTGAAATTGTACTTAAACGACGTACATGTATCGAACGATTATTTGTTGTTGAATTTCAAAGAAATTAATTTCTTTACTCGCTTTTGTTTCCGTCTACCGTATGAATATCTCATGTCTGTTTTGAATTTTAGATTTAAATTTATTGAACAGAAGGAAATAAACGAAAATGTCAAAATCAAAAGAATTACATGATGATTCAGATTCGGAAGAAACAAAAACTTTAAAAAAAATTAATTCAACTAGTGATGAAGAATCATCTAAAACATCAGTATCGAAAAAATTAAAATCTAAAAATTCTGAAGATCAAAATGATGTAAGTCATTCTTAGTTAGATATCATGAAAATTTTTATTTATATGAATAGCCACCTGCTAAACGAACAAAGAAAAATGATGAAACAGATGATAGTACAGCACCATCAACTATTGGACCTAATGGTGAACGACTCTTTGAAGTAAATCATTCTTATTATAGATTATTTGTATGATTTTATTTTGTATAGATTGGTAAATTACGTTATGTATCAGTTAGTGAATTTCGAGGCAAATCTTATATAAATATTCGTGAATATTATGAAGCTAATGGTGTACTCAAACCTGGTAAAAAAGGTATGAACTATTTTTATTTTAACAGATATTATTTATTTTGTATTATAGGTATAAGTTTAGGTGGTGAACAATGGGAAAAATTGAAAGAACTTATTAATCAAGTTGATAAAGAATTAAAAAATTCGAAATAGAATAATATGTACATTAGTAAATCTTTAATTTTATGAAAAAAAGATAGTAAATATTTATTTTTGTGTATTTTCATTGAAACTTGTTATTTATATATATATGTAAAAAGTTCATTTCTTCTATTTTTTCTCTTCTCTTTATACATTAAAACATGAGATAATATATAACATTTATTTTATAATAAAGAAAGAAATTGAGAGATATTTCTTTCTTTAGATGAAAGAATTAATTTGTTCAACAATTGAACGAAATGTTGTATTAAAATGTATACGTGATCGGAAAGTAAGTTAAGATAGAAATAAAGAGTATAGATTTGAATGTTTTTTTTTATTTGTCAGCGTTTGGATTGCCGAACGATTGATGAAACTCGTCCGGTTAATATCGACTTTCGTTCACATCCTGGTTATGTTTCTGTTACTCTCGGTCAAACGCAGTAAGTTGATTACAATGAAATTAAGTTTTTTTATATTAAAAATTATTTAGTGTTATTGCACAAGCATCATGTCGTATAACAAAACCAAAAGAATCTCGTGCATCTGAAGGACATGTTCGCGTTCATCTTGATATGTCAAAAATTCCGTTAATTAATTTAGAAAATTGGAAGTTAGTTAAAGAATTTTTATTATTTAATAATGACATTGAATTTCTATTTAAAGACATCAAGAATTTGTACAAGAATTAAATGGTATTCTTGAACAAAATATTCGTCATTCAAATTGTATTGATCTTGAATCATTATGTATTAATGCTGGAGAATTAGTAAGAAATTTTTTATTATTATGATAAATCATATTTTCTTCTTCTTCTTCTGTAGGTATGGTCAATTAAAATTGATCTTATTGTTTTAAATAATTGTGGTAATATTTTGGATTGTGCTAATATAGCAACACTTTGTTCATTATACCATTATCGATTACCAGAAGTTTCTGTACATGGATCGGATATTCGAGTGGTTTGTTTTCATTGAAATATATATTAATTTAATTTAAAAAAAAGAATTTTTTTATAATTGAATAGTATTCATCAATTGAACGTAGACCTCATCCGTTACGTATTCTTCATTTTCCGATTAATGTTCTTTTTGCTTTCTTTATTGATGGGTAAGAGAATTTAATTTCATATATTATTTATATGTTTATATATGCTAGTCGATATACATTAATTGATCCGCATTCCGATGAAGAACGTCTTATGGATGGTTTTGTTTCAATTTCAATGAATCAACATAAAGAAATCTGTGGAATTCATATGGGTGGAAAATTAGGTTTAAAACGAGAACAAATTGATATATGTAAAAAACTTGCATTTAATAAAGTACTTGAATTAACTGATCGTATTCGACAAGTAGTTTTGGATTATTATAAGTAATATTAAGAAATCCTATTTATGACTAATTTATTTGTTATATTTCTATAGAAAACTTGAACCAATTACACATTCTCAACCATCAATTGTACGTATTGATAATGATGATGATGATGATAGTAATGATCATAATATTAGTACAACTGAAAATGAAGATATTGTTTTAATAAAACCTGAAATATCACCATCATTAATTGAAAGCAATGTATCAGTAAGTAATCATCAAAAAAAATAAATGATCTTATTTACTAGAATTATACTTTACAGCTTTTACAAATGCCGAATCTTAATCGTTTATCATTAACTGAAGATGATCCATCAGGTACAATTGGTAATTTAGCAAGTGAACCAGAGAATGGTAATTTCTTATTTTTATATAATTATTTTTTTAAATTATTCTTATTATTATTTTAGACGAGGAATAAGATAATCAATAAATTTATCAAATCTTTAATATTTTTTCAAAAATGTGATACGTTCTTTATTTATCAGCTTTTACCGTTTCTTTTTCCTTGTAATATACAGTTTACATGTATGCTTGTTATCTATAAAAAAAAAGAATAACAACAAAGATCGAGATATACTTATCTTATTATTATAAATAAAATGTGTGCACAGACAGCTCTAGATAGTTAAAGGGACTTAAGTATTTTTTTGCAATAATGTGTACCTATTCAACAAAAAATCTAAGTCAACCATGGCCAATATTGAAACATTATGATCAAGAACATTTATATAATATTGCTCTTCCACTTGGTGGAATTGGTACTGGTACAGTGAGTTTAGGTGGACGTGGTGAATTACGTGATTGGGAAATAGGAAATAAACCAGCAAAAAAATATAGTACCGTAACTACAGGAAATGATGCACCATTTTTCTCTATATTTGTTAATCAACCATCAACATCAACAAAAATAACGAAAGCTCTTATAGGACCTGTTCATCCGACAGAATATTTACATTATGAAGGTCGTGCTTGTAATAATCATGGTTTACCAAGATTTGAGCACGCTTCATTTGATGCTGCCTATCCATTTGGAATGGTTAATTTATCCGATAGTAAAATGCCCGTGTGTATCATTATTATTACAACATTTCGTTTATTTTTATTTTTTTTTGTCAGGTACAAGTATGTATTAAAGGTTTTAATCCATTTATTCCAACCGATGCAGAATCTAGTGGTATTCCAATAGCTGTTCTATATTATGAAGTAACAAATACAACAAACGAAATTTTAGATGTTAGTATATGTGGATCAATGAGAAATTTTGTAGGACAAGATGGAAGTAAATATTTCATTGCTGGTGATGGTGATTATGTTCCTACTGGAGCTAAAAATAATACAAATATTTATAGAGAAGATTTAGCAGGAAAACTAAAAGGTATTTATATGAATTCAACTAATGTTGATCCGAATGATCCAGCATGGGGAACAATTGCATTAACAACATTAGTTGATTCATCGAATACAACAAATGTTACATATCGTTTATCGTCGATTTCAAATGCATGGTATCATGCTATACTCGATTTTTGGGATGATGTTAGTTGAAAATAATTGTCTAGATTAAATTAATTTTAAACTTTCTTTTAATTTAGTTTAGTGCAGATGGTACACTTCATGATAAAGGACAATTAATTGATGATAATCCAATGGGAAGTTTAGCTGTAAAAAAACAAATTCAACCGCATAGTACTGAACTTTTTCCATTTTTTATTACTTGGAATTTTCCTAATCGAATGGCATGGTCATCAACTATCGTTGGCAATTATTATTCAACATTGTATAAAGATGCTTGGGATGTATGTATTAAAACATTACCATCACTTGCTGATTTAGAATCGACTACACTTGATTTTATAAATCTTATTTTGGCAAGTGATTATCCAGGTGTATTGAAAGAAGCAGCATTATTTAATTTAGCAACACTTCGTTCACAAACAGTATTTCGTATTAATGATGGACATTTAATGGCATGGGAAGGAGTTTTTGATATATTTGGTTCATGTTATGGTTCCTGTACACATGTTTGGAATTATGAACAAGCTATTGGATTTCTTTTTGGGAATCTTGCTAAAACAATGCGTGATGTTGAATTTAATTATGCAACATTTGATGATGGTGCAATGAATTTTCGTGTACAACTTCCATTAACAAAACCACAAACACGAACTGGAACTGCTGCTGTAAGATAAATAACTTGAGAGAAAAAAAGAAAATTGATTTACTATTGATTATATATAGGATGGACAAATGGGTTGTATTATGAAAATGTACCGTGATTGGCAAGTAAATAAAACGAATATGTAATAAACAAAAAGAAACTAATATTTATTATTATTATTTTTTAATAGTTATCTGGTGATGATGAATTTTTAAGAAAGAATTGGGAACAAGTAAAAAAAGTTCTAAGCTTTGCATGGCAACCTAATAGTTGGGACGCTGATCAGGATGGTGTTGAGGAAGGTGCTCAACCAAATACAATGGATGTAACTTATTATGGTAGGTAATATTGGACATATCGCAGAAATAATATTAAATGATTTCTTTCTATTCTAGGTCCAAATCCACAATGTAATTTCTGGTATTTAGGAGCTCTTCGTGCCGCATTTGTTATGGCTTTGTATCTAGGTGATGAAACTTTCGGTAATAAATGTCTATCTTTATTTACAAATGGTAGTAAATGGGTTGATATGAATTTATTTAATGGTGAATATTATGAACAGAAAATTATTGATCCTAAAACTGGTCAATTTCTTGATCATGATGATCCAAATGTACCTGATTATCAACTTGGTAAGGGTTGTCTTGTTGATCAATTAGTTGGTCAAATGATGGCACATGTTTGTAATTTGGGTTATCTTGCTATACCAGAAAATATTGCAACAACATGTCGTAGTATATTAAAATATAATTATCTTGATACATTTAATGAACATTTTAATAATATGCGTTCATATGTTCTTGGTAATGAGAGTGGTCTTTTAATGGCATCATGGCCACGCGGACGTTTACAATTTCCATTTCCATATTTTTCTGAATCAATGACTGGTTTTGAATATACAGCTGCATGTAATATGATCTATGAAAATCAAACACAACAAGGTTTAAAATGTGTTCAAAGTATTCGTGATCGTTTTGATGGTCTTAAACGAAATCCATTTAGTGAACCAGAATGTGGACATCATTATGGACGATCAATGACTAGTTGGACAACACTTTTAGCTTGGTCTGGCTTTCATTATTCTGCTGTTACACGAACTATGGAATTTGGTATGAGAGCAGGTGTATTTTTTTGGTCAAATGGATATTCTTGGGGTTCATGTTGGATTGTAGAAAATAGAACACAAGCACATTTAATGATTTCTTATGGTTCTATTGAAATAGAGTATTTTGGACTTCAAGGCAAAACAATGAAAAAATTACCAGAACGAGTGATTTTATCAGCTAAAAGTAATATGAAAACACTTACAATTGACTTTGATAATTAATTTCTTTCTTAATCATATCGAGTGCTATATAAACATAGACTCGTAAATAAAATTTGAATACAATTTGCAATATATTGCGCGAACAATATTTTTTTTATTTCTTTCGATTCATACCATTTGGTAGATTATAAAAAAAGATTAAAAACAAATTCAAATATTCATAAGAGGAAACAGTGCGCTTTTTAAGATCGATGATTTTTGAATATGAATTCTCTATTTTGAATCGGTTCTGTACTGATGAATGCTAGAACAAAATCTATTTTTTCGAGTAGTATCTCGTGATACATCGTTACTCTATCATATGAAATCATTCAACGATGTTTTGATTGATCTATGGATGAATTGCGATGGCATCAAGAGAATGTCCTTTGAGAAAGACATTCGGTCATAACGTCCAAACTATTTTAACAGTCAAAACATTTCTAAATTATTATTCGATCGATTTTTGCCTTCAACAAGGACTGATAGGAACGAAAAATCAAAGGAGAATGTATCTTTTCCCTATAACGTTTACGGCAAAGATATCAATCCAGTTTTCACTCTGAATCTTCCTCGATTCTCCTTGTTCCATTTTTTTCAATAATTTAACAACCACTTCGTCCGCGAATCAGATCCACTCGCTCAAATAGAGGGTGATCATCTTCTCGCAGCTAATATTGACCCTTAAATGCACCCTCGGATCAGCATTCTAATGAATGGAAAAATTCGTAAATACTGAAAGCTGTAAAAGATTGCTTTATTTGACTGTTTGTGTATCGAGAAATGAAGAAATAAAAGTATTTTGTGGAAAAAAAAACTTTTAAAAATATCATTACATGTAAAACACTTTGGTCCGTCAAGACCGAATGTCTCTTCCAAGGGACATTTTATATCTCCATAAGAAAAAAACAATTTTTTTTACTATCAATTATTCTTATTGAAGTACTGGACTTTTTATTTTAGCAATTAGTTTGTTCAATTTACAGCGATAAGGCCTTTCGGCTCTTAAGGATTCATAGTATTGATACATGAAGAACTAGTCATACAAAATCGAGAATTCTCTATCAAAAAAAAGAGTAGTGTAGAAATCGTTAACTCGGTCTGAGTATTGAATTTCTTCTCCAACTCTCAGGTCGAACAATCCAGCGCGGAAACGTTCGGTTCCGTAGTATTCTTGAGATTTCATGGAAGCGGTATTCCAGTTGAACGGATCCGGTGACCGGATTTATCTAGTTAGGACCGGAACCGACAGGAATATATCAAAACCGGCAGCCGGATACGGTCACCTCACTTCTCAAACTTGAATAGTTGAACAAATAGTTGGATTCAACTTTCTACTATTACATGTATGGAAAAATTGGTTTTCTTGTTTTCTAGGTTTTAAATTATCAATATGAAATTAAATGTATTCAAGAAGCAATTAATGTTCAAATGTCAAACAATATGCTATACACTGATCTGATTAATTCTCGTGCACGATCTTTTCGGCATTTTCAAGATGCTGTTGATAGAATGCGTGAGTTATTTTTGTTACTAAATAACAATTAAATTTTTTGATAGCTGTTATAATGTGAAGTTTATACTAGACATAAGAGAAAGTAGGCCGAAAGGAAATATATATAGGAGAAAAGATGAAAACTCTCTCACTTTTATATAATTGATTACATCTTTAATGCAAGAAGAAAGAAAATATTCGTAGCGTTAGGCATCAGTAACGCGTGACAATTTGTCACAAATTTATTAGATAAAAGTGAAAATGAATTATCTTAATTTAAAAGTTGATTATGAATGATCTATTGTTATCTTATTTTTATAGTAAAGGTGTTAAACAGCGGGATATTCGCAAACATTGGTGTATGTATGCGAGAAATGGGTTTAATAGAATGTAACTAGGACATTTTTCAAAATACAAAGAAATATTTATCAAGAACAAATTAGTCTGACATTTTCCGTACATGTAATAGTAGAAAGTTGAATCCAACTATTCATTCAACTATTCAAGTTTTCAACTTTCAACTTTTAAATTTATTCGTAGGGGCTTCCAACTATTCAAATTTTAAACTATTGGTGCCTGGAAGAGTGCAGAAGAGGGAAGCAGCTGAGTCCGGGTGTCTAGAAGGGGAGAAGTGAGGTAACCGTATCCGGCTGGCAGTTTTGGCATGTTCTTGTCAGCTCTGGTCCAAACCAGATAAATCCGGTCACCGGATCCGTTCAACTGGAATACCGCTTCCATGAAATCTCAAGAATACCACGGAACCGAACGTTTCCGCGCTGGATTGTTCGGCCTGGGAGTTGGAGAAGAAGTTCAATACTCGAACCGAGTTAACGACTTCTACACTACTCTAAATAATAATTAAATTTTTATTTGTAGTGGAGCATCTTACATTTATGGACGAAGGGAAGGAGAACATGTAAATAATTTCTTTGTACATTATTAACCAATTTCAATTTCTTAAATAAAATATTTTAATTAGAACATATTTTTTAATTTTTTTTCAAATGAATATTTTAAATAGGATAGATGTTTTGTTTTCCTATTTATCATGCATCAGCTTAGCTTGTAATAGATTCAGCCGGTATTCATTTATGTTAGTGGACAGTTTTAATCTATCATCCGTTACAGATTTGATAAAAAGAAGAAATGGTGAGAAAGAAAAGAATCGTTCTGTAAATCTCTTTCTATCGATTTGTCTTCATCTGTAAAGTGTATACATACATATAAAATATTTATTTTTCTATTGCGAAAACGAAATGATAAGATATAAGTATAAATTTAATAGAATGACATACATGTAATAGTAGAAAGTTGAATCCAACTATTCATCCATCTATTCAAGTTTGAGAAGTAAGGTGACCGTATCCGGCTTCCGGTTTTGGCATGTTCTTGTCAGCTCCGGTCTAAACCAGATAAATCAGGTCACCGGATCCATTGATCGGGAATACTGCTTCCATGAAATTTCCGGAATACCACGGAATCGGCCGTTTCCGTGCCGGATTGTTCGACCTGGGAGTTGGAGAAGAAGTTCAATACTCGGGCCGAGTTAACGATTTCTACAATACTCGAAATTAATGAAAATGATCGACAATGGTTAATTCAACTATTAACAAATCTTGGTAATGCACCATCACCACCACCAACAACTACTACTACAACTACAGAAACACCATAACGTCGTTCGTTCGTTTCTTTTTTTTTCTTCGTAATGTTGTTGTTGCTATTGTTTGTTCTCCACGAAGAAAAAAAATAAATAAGAAGTAAAAAAAGTATCGGGTACATCTCGATTAATTAAAAACTTTTTATTTAATATATCTTATTAACTAGAGTTATAAGAAAGAATAGTAGAAAGAGATGCATCTAGATGTGTTGATGCTATTGAAATTAATGAAGAGGGTCTTATTATTAGTTTTGAACATAAACTAAAACAACGAAAATCTGATCTTGTTATAATTGAAATATCTGTTTATAATTATACAAAATTAACCGTTACACTTGATGATTTAGTTAAAGATGAAGAATTAAAAGATTATGATAAAAGTTTATTATTACTATTGTTATTATTATTAGTTAAAAAAGAAAATGTATAAGAATTTTGTTTGAATAATTATTAGAGAGATATTAGTATTCCAGAAAATTATTGATAAGCAAATATGAATTTAATTAGAGAAAGAAAAAAAGCAAAACGAATCAATTAGCTTGATCTGGTTTTCATTATTCTGCTGTTACACGAACTATGGAATTTGGTATAAGAACAGGTGTATTTTTTTGGTCGAATGGATATTCTTGGGGTTCATGTTGGATTATAGAAAATAAAATTACCAAAACGAGTGATATTATCAACTAAAAGTGATATGAAAACACTTACAATTGACTTTGATAATTAATTTCTTTTTTGATCATATCGAGTGTTATATAAATGTAGACTCGTAAATAATCAATTCTTAATAAACACTATATTTATATAATACATACTAGACGTTTATTAAAAACTTTTCAATCTTCGGCGCCATCTATAGTAAATTGAAAATGTCGACAAATTTTATTTGCTCTTCACTTTCTACCGATAAAATCGTTTCGTACATGAGAGCAAATAAATCAGTCATTAAGAGATAGAGACCATCGATCATCCGACAGAAATTTAGAGAAAATGATTTTTTGTAAAATTCTTATTCTTCTTTATATTTAGATGTTTTCAATGAGTGGAACTAGCGGAGCAAAAGTATGTTTTTGTTTTCATAAACTAGAATATTTAATAAATCTTTCATATGTTTTTTTTTCGTCATAGAAAAAAGGCAAACAAGCAACAAAAGGTGATGCACAAATAGTTAAAGAAAATATTGAAACAATTGAATTCTATAAAAAAGTGTTATCTATCTCTAATGTAAGATTAGAATTTTATTTTAATTATTTATATTATATTAAAAAATATTTTCTAGGGCATTTTTCTTGCCGTTCATTTTATCTTTTATTTTATAACTGGATTTTCCACAGCTTCTTGTGTAAGAATACTTTTCTTTTTTTTCGGGATTTTATTTAATAATAATCTTTATTTTAAGATTCTTTTTTTATTATCATCTGCTGCTGCATGGTATGTTTGGTCAATGATGCGTCAATTCGGTACAACGAAATCAGGTGGTGCTGTAACAGATTTAAATCTTAATGGAAGCATTTCTGAGTAAAATTTATTTATTAATATTTTTACTTAAATATAAACGAACGTTTTATTTTAGTTATGCAAAAGATATCATTTTAGCTATTGTTATTGCACAATCGGCTAGTTTAATTCATCGATATTTCTGGTGGTTTCTTTTAGCCGTATGAAGTGATATATGTATATTTTTTTTATTATTGATTTTTTATTATTTAGATTCCACTTTATGCACTTTATAAAGGTTTAAAGATGTTTTTTTTCTCACCCTATTCGCAATTACAGGGTGGTGGCAATCAAGAACAAGGTGATCAAGCTGATGGAAAAAAAGGTGGAAAAGGAAAAGTTACTCGTGTTGCTCGACACTAGTCAAAAGAAAAAATTTTTGTTTTTGTTCGTTGTTTTTATTTTATTCAACATTAATAAACGGGCATATTTATGAATATTTCATTCTTTGACATTCTCTTTTAGATTTAATACTAAAACTATGATTGATAATTATCAACAAAATTATAATATTTATTATCGATCAACAACAATTTAATGGTTTTATTGATGTAGGTTTTTATGATTAACTTTCCCTTGTATAAAAGAAACTCCTAGATAGTAATTTGATCGATATACTGAGAATAATAAATGTTATATATAGACTTTTTTTTCGTTAGAGAAGGATAAATATTCATTTCCGGTTGAACAAATGCATTGCTAACGGCGTATTGATTACTAACTCTAAAAGAAACAACTTGATTGTTGGATGAGTACTGCTTTTTCAGCCTTGAGATTGATATTTTTCAGTCGAGAAAAATTTAATTAAATCATTATCAGATAATCACGTTTTGGAATACTATAATAACTTATCAAAATAGTTAGATAGATATAGAGAAATGATTTAGAAATTACATAGATGTCAACTAGTAGATACTATATATTCGAATTTAGACGTTACCCATGACATATATTACATTTAGATTTATGAAACAAATCGGCAATAAGACAATGATTAAACCAGTTTCTTGAATATTATCTTTACTATCAATACTAATTAAAATTATGCTGTAATTATTCTAAGCAGTACATTTGCTTATTTTCTATAACTATATTTTCTCATGAATAATAGATTAAACTATTCTTTATATTTCAGATGAAATGAATTTCAGATATTTTTACTATGATAAACAATGATCGAATGATTAATTAATTGGGAGTTTATTTACACATTTATTATGACATTTTCATTTTGTTTTTGTTTTAAACGTGATCGTGCTACATATAGTGTATCATCAAATAATGCAAATCATAATTCAATACAACCATCAACAACTGTAACATTAGCACCACTTCCAGTATCAAATGATCTATCAATTGCTCCAGCTGAATCACATTATGAAAAAATTATTGGTTCATCAGGTGATGGTGAAATACGTGTAAACAATGATTATAGAGATTCAACAACATCAATGGAATATGGTGGTTATACAAAATTAACGCCAATTAGATCTCAACAACAATCATTTGATGATGATACACAACTGTATGCTACTGTTGATAAAACAAGAACGTCAGGAAGTAATGGAATTCGAACAACACCAAATGCTACAGCTGCTATTGCTGCTGCTATTAGACAAGGTTCATCACCGGCATCGACAACCGCGTACGTATGATCTAAATAATTAAAGATAATATAAAGTGAACTATACACTAGAGATCTAATCAGACTGTTGAGTTTATTTAAGATTAGGAAATTATGATTTCCTTCATTTATACAATTCGTTTATTTCTAGGTCTTCTTCTCCACAAGCAATATTTTCTCCAAGTTCACATCTAACTGGATATACAATGACGTCTCAAGCTCCACCAGAACATCCACCACCGCCACCACCACCTCCACCTCCACCATTGCCGCCACTTCTACCTCAAGTATACGGAAGTGCAATTGTAAATAATAATGATTCTAGTCGTCGTCCTCATTATGATGAAGTTATAACACGTGAATCATTACAATATCGTGCACAACGTTTACAAATGGAAGAACAACAACAACAACAAATACGTGAAAATTATTATTCATCTGTAAATAGTGAACGTGGTACAACAACTGGAAGTGAACTTTATGCTGAAATAGCTAATGGTAGTGCATCGGGTACAGTACATCAAAATCAACAATCTCATTATTATTCTCGACCAACAACTGGTAATGGAATAGGTGATGATTTATCTGAAAGATATGCAACTGTCATTGAAACTATTGAACAACAACCAACAACTAATCGTATATATCAAGAAGTTGATACTATGAAACTCTAAGAGAGATTTTGTTTCTTTTTTTTTCTTTTTCTATTTTGTATCCGTGAGTGCAATCAAGTATTTCAATGTTTCTTTTAAAAAAAAGTTTTTTTTTCTGTGAATATATATTCTTGTTTTTTTCTCCTGTTTTTTTTAATTGTATGAAAAAGAAAAGATTATTGATAATTATCTATTTATCAGATATGATATATTTCTCATAACAAGTAAAAACAATCTCAGACGATTATAATGACCTTCAGTAAAATACTTATTGCTAATCGCGGTGAAATCGCATGCCGAGTTATTCGTACTGCTCAACGTCTTGGTCTTCAGTCGGTTGCTGTTTTCTCTGATGCTGATCGCGGTTCATTACATGTTCGAATGGTACGTTTGAAAATAATTTCATTTTTATATTGGATATTGTTTTCTTTTGATATTAAAGGCTGATGAAGCTATTCACATTGGTCCACCCGCTGCACTTCAAAGTTATTTACGTAAAGATAAAATCATTGATGCAGCTAAACAAACAAATGCTCAAGCTATTCATCCAGGTTATGGTTTTCTATCAGAGAATTATGAATTTTGTACGATGTGTAAGGAAAATAATCTCATATTTATTGGTCCACCACCAAATGCTATACGTATGTTTATTTTTAATTTTCTTAAAGAATATTTAAATATATGTATATCACAGGTGATATGGGTATTAAAAATTTGAGTAAAATTATAATGCATGATGCTAATGTACCGGTTATTTTTGGTTATCACGGTGAAGATCAATCAGATGCTACATTATTTAGTGAAGCAAAAAAGATTGGTTATCCCATAATGATTAAAGCTGTACGAGGTGGTGGAGGAAAAGTAAGTTTATCAATCCAACAAAAAATAGTACCTAATTGAAAATCTTTTAACTTTCTATAGGGTATGCGTATTGCACTTAATGAGAATGAGTTTATGGATCAATTAAATGCTGCAAAATCTGAATCAAGAAAATCTTTCAATGATGATTCTGTATTACTTGAAAAATATATCCAACGTCCTCGGTAAAATTCGAATTTGTTCTCGCATTTGAATAAATCATTATTTCTTTATGTTTTAGTCATGTTGAAGTACAAGTATTTGGTGATATGCATCAAAATTATGTTTATCTATTTGAACGTGATTGTAGTGTTCAACGACGTCATCAAAAAATCATTGAAGAAGCTCCGGCAGTAAAGAATTAAATTTATCGTTTAAATTTGTTTTTACTTTTTTTTCGATTAGCCTGGTCTTGATTGGTCAACACGTAAGAAATTAGGTGAAGCAGCTGTTAAAGCAGCTCGAGCTGTTAATTATGTCGGAGCAGGAACAGTAGAATTCATTATGGATGAAAATCAGAATTTTTATTTTATGGAAATGAATACACGTTTACAAGTTGAACATCCAATAACAGAAATGATTACTGGTACGGATCTTGTTGAATGGCAAATAAAAGTTGCACAAGGTGAAGTTTTACCACTTAAACAAGATGATATTAAATTAAATGGACATGCATTTGAAGCACGTATTTATGCTGAAGATCCTGCAAATCAATTTATGCCTGGTAGTGGTCGTTTAACTTATTTACGAACACCACCCACTGGTGGTGATGGAAAAATTCGTGTTGAAACCGGTGTTCTCGAAGGTGATGAAGTATCTGTACATTATGATCCTATGATTGCTAAATTAGTTGCTTGGTCAACAAATCGAGGTAGTGCATTACAAAAACTTCGTAATGCTCTTCAACAATATTATGTAAGTTAATTTTCTGTATAGAAATTTAAAAAAAAAGTTTTTTTTTAGATTGGTGGTTTAAAAACAAATATTCCATTTTTAATGTCACTTTGTGATAATAAACAATTTCAACTAGGAAATGTACACACTGATTTTATTAAAGAAAATAAAGATGCTTTATTTCATTTACAACAAATAACACCAACTATAGCTGTTGCAGCTGCTTCAGCTTTTATCAATTCTCAACAACAACCGATACAATCTAATCCAAGTAATATTAAAAATGACATATTTTCTTTTTAAATTAAATTCTTAATCCTAGATGCTGCACCATCATTTTTCACTACATGTAACAATTCTTTTCGTCCTAACTTTTCACAAAAACAATCATTAACATTAAATTATGATAAAAAAGGTAACTATATATTTCTCATTTACTCAATCAAAGAATCATTCTTCTTCAGATTATCAATTCCAAATTGAACGTATCGATAGTTCCAATTTACTTGTTACTTATGAAAATAAAACATATCCCGTTGAAATTCGTCCAACAAAAGATGAACTTATTCTTCTTATTGATGGTCATCAATTTCGATGTCGTGTTCATATTGATGGTGATACATGTACATTCTATTCGAATGTAAGTGGTACTTCATTTGATTTTAAATTACGACCACCATCATTTCTTGCTAAACTTGCTTCATCTGGTTTGGGTGGTGCAGCAGCAACATCTGATAATCCAATTGCACCTATGCCAGGTACTATTGATAAAATACTTGTTCAAGAAGGTACAAATGTTAAACAAGGACAACCATTATTAGTAATGACAGCGATGAAAATGGAACATGTAATTAAAGCAAATAAAAATGGAACTATTGGAAAAATAAATGCTATCGCAGGCAAAGTAGTTAAAAAAGGTGAAATACTCTTAACATATGTTGCCGACGATAAAAAACAAAACTGACACTGATCTTTTCTATATTTTTTTTTTGAGAATAAACCTACGTTCCGTTTGTTTGTTTGTTTGTTTGCCCCTTTCTTTTTTTTTTATAAGTCAAATGGCCAAAAAGCATTTGTCTAAATGAATATCATTTTTAGATTGCTTTTTTTTTCTTTAAATCATGGCTCGTCCAAAAGGTCAAAAACGTTTTGCTGAAATGAAAAAAATGATTAAATTAACTGATGCACGATTAAAAGCAAAAGATCGTGTTAAACCAAAGAATCATGATAAAAAACAAGAAAAGAAAAATATTGGTGAAATAACAGAAAAACAAGTTGCACCAGTTACATCAGCACTCTTCTTTAGATATAATACACAACTCGGTATGTTCATAGTCGTTTTTTTCTTCTTCTAATTACTAATATTATAATTCTTTAGGTCCACCATATCACGTAATAGTTGATACAAATTTTATTAATTTTTCTATTAAAGTTAAATTAGATATTATACAATCTATGATGGATTGTCTTTATGCTAAATGTACACCATATATAACTGATTGTGTAATGGGTGAAATTGAAAAATTAGGTACAAAATATCGTGTAGCTTTACGTATTGCAAAGGATCCACGTTTTGAACGTTTACCATGTTCACATAAAGGTACATATGCTGATGATTGTATTGTACAACGTGTCACACAACATAAATGTTATATTGTGGCAACATGTGATCGTGAATTAAAACGACGTATAAGAAAAATTCCTGGTGTACCAATTATGTATTTACATGGTCATCGTTATACTATTGAACGTATGCCAGATGCACATGGAGCACCGAGAGTATGAACACGAATATTCAACATATTTTGTTCTACTTCTGTTGTTTTTTTTAATGCAAATAAATAAGTAGAACATATTAAATGTTCGAAAAAAAACATATAAATCAATCTATTTTTTTTACTTTAAAATATGAAAAAATATGCAAATAATATAAGTGATACTTTAAGATAATATTTATTGATTTATTAAGTAGGCAAACTACCGATGAGGTTAGTAGAGGAAAAGCGAAGAAAAGAAAAAGAAGAGTCTGTTATGAAAGCTAATATATAAGAGTATAGATGTAAAATAAATAGTCATAGATGAATAGAATTGTTGTCTTTTTTTCTATTGTTGCCAACAGGTAGATGGTTGATCTCTGATATGAACCCAGAATCGAATGTCATTTCGAACATCCCCATATGAATAAAAATGCCATCCACCACGTTGTTGATTCTTGGCATTTTGTGTCCAAGCACTACCTGAATATGTAGTTAGATTCATTCCTGAAATGAAAAATCCGTCATCAAATAGAGCCACACGCCAACCAACACTAAAAACAAAATTGGTGATCAGTATGAAAAGCCTCTTTAAACAAATAGAAATATTGTCTTACCCAAATGATTGTGCACAATAGTCATCAACAGCCGCTCGGTTATAAAATTGTGAACCTTTTACAGGTACAGTAGTTGTTATATGACCAAGATTCCAACCAGCATAGTAAGCTGGAGTCATTACTCCAGTAGTTGGAGGAACAACATATGCAGGACGAGGTGTATTATCTACTTTGGCACACAGAACTGGACGAAGTTGATTACAGTCAGTGTCTCCTACATAAGCATCACAATTCATTCCATTTGGATCAGACCAATTACGACAACCAACAAGATCAATACCAAAATCGACTAAATGAGCTTCTTTAACAAATGTCAATCCTTTTTTGCCTAAAGAAGAAAATTCGTAAACAATGACAATAAATCAATGTTTATACCTGAGCTTGGTGCATTTTGTAGAATAGGGCTGTTTACAGCAGCACTTCCTGTTGGATCTTGGGCCGGACTGACTTCGGCAAGAGAAGCATCTGTTAATGCTTTACCATCTACTTGAAATACTAATGCAAGAAGTATGAGAACGCCGCTAAACGAGTTTCGCATATTGATATTGTAATGAATAATAAGAGTATTGTAAATAATATTTGGATGTGTTTACCGACCTACAGTTACTCGATATATATACTGCATTTACTTCCGAGTTTTTCCGCTTCAAATGTAGACATTAATTTATCATTCTATTTATATATTTTACCCCTATAATTAAATGTAAAAAAGGGTTGTATAATACAGCTCGGAACAGCCTGCCAGTAATATTATGAAGTGTACTCCCTTGCTCGGAAGTAGCACAGTAACAAAAACAATCATGATAAATCGAAATCATCTATCATCGCTTGCAGTTAATGTATAAATGTTTTTATTCATTCTGTCATCACTAGATATTAATTACGTAGATTATTTTCGTTTTTATATTATGAGGAGAGAGACTATCGAGTTTTGATTAAAAATAATAAACTCAAATCCTATTTCATTTAACAATTCGAAAATTTTTTCGTTCATACTAGTTCGAAACTGATTTATGTTCTAATTCAAGTATTCTTTTTTTTGACCTTGGTGATAACAATTGTTTATCGAGACTATCAAACATACGTAAAAGAAAAAAATTCTCTTTCCAACATTAACTTCTACCTATAAAATTTATTTGATATAGAAAGATATAATTCATAATAAACTCAACAGAAACTGTTGTTTTAACTATATAAAACGAGTCGAACAGCAAGAATTCTTATTGACACAGCTTGCCTATTTATATTTTGGATTGTTGTAAATTGCTTGTGCACATGAATCTTTCTTTGAAGGTTGTCAACAAAACAACTTCTTTTTTATTTTTATTTCGTTCGTTCTCTATCAAAGAAATATTCCAATGACACACACTTCTCCCATTGTAAAAGGGTATTTTTCATCTCTTCTTGAGAATAGCCATTAACACATTTCGTTATTTTCTTCAAACAATAGTCATTAATTCACTATTTCAATTCGACGACATATAACTATGGATAAAAGAAAGGTAACAATAACTAGTGATATTTCTAATGAAAACGAAGATAAGAAAGCAACTACTATTCTTCGAGTACGTCCACATCATCGTATTATAGAAAATTTTCTTGTTGTTTGGTTAGATCCAAATCTTCGAGATACTATTGATGATGATTGCCGTGATATAATTGATCAATTACGAAGTATTGTAAATTCAATTGATATATATAGTGATGTTGATTATTGTATTGATTTTCTCAGTGATATTAAAGATGAAAAAGCTTTTATGATTTTATCTGGTGCTTTTGGTCAACAAATAATATCCTATATTCATGATATTCCACAACTTCATTCGATTTATATTTTTTGTGGAAGTAAAACCAAACATGAACAATGGGCAAAAGATTGGCCAAAGATAAAAGGTGTTTTTACACAAATAGGACCGATTTGTGATGCATTAAAACAAACAACACAAAAATGTGAACAAAATATTACTCCGATTAGTTTTGTTACAGCAAATGAAGTATCTGATCAAAATTTCGATCAACTTGATCAATCATTTATGTATACACAAATACTTAAAGAAATTCTATTTGAAATAAAATACAATCAACAATCTATTAAAGATTTAGTTAGTTATTGTCGTGAACAATATGCTGGTAATTCAAATGAAATACAAATTATTGATGGATTTGAAGAAAATTATCGTAAACATTCACCCATATGGTGGTATACATATTCATGTTTTATTCATTCTATGCTTAATCGAGCTTTACGTACGCATGAGGTTGATATAATTATTAAGATGGGATTTTTTATTCAAGATCTTCATCGACAAATTGATAAACTTCATAACGAACAATTAGATGAACAACAAAAACGGCCATTCATTGTTTATCGTGGACAAGGTTTATTAAAAGAAGATTTTCAAAAATTAATTAAAGCAAAAGGTGGACTAATGTCATTTAATAACTTTTTATCGACGAGTAAAAAACGAAAAGTTGCATTGGAATTTTCTCAGGATGCTTTGAATAATATTGATATGTTTGGTATTCTTTTTAAAATGATTATTGAACCATCGAATCTATCCACTCCATTTGCATTTATTGATGGTATTAGTTATTATACTACAGAACAAGAAATTCTTTTTTCAATGCATACTGTTTTTCGTATTGGTGATATAAAACAAATTGATGATAATACTAACAATCGTCTCTATCAAGTCGAACTTAAATTGACTAGTATTAAAAATCAACAAATTATTGCATTGACGGAACGAATGCGTGAAGAAACTTATGGGTCGAATGGATGGCATCGACTTGGTATGTTACTGATTAAACTGGGAAAATATGATAAAGCTGAACAAGTTTATAAAGTTTTATTTAATTTAAGTACGGATAATACTGAGAAAGCATTACTTTATCATCAACTTGGTTTAATAAAACGTAATCAAGGAGATTATAATGAAGCACTTTTATCATATGAAAAAGCTCTTGAAATTTATCAAAAATTTCTTCCAGAAGATCATCCAGATTTAGCAACTTCTTATAATAATATTGGTCAAGTATATAATAATATGGGTGAATATGCAAAAGCTCTTTCATTCTATGAAAAATCTCTTGATATTTTTCAAAAAAATTTACCATCAAAACATACATCATTAGCGATATCATACAATAATATTGGTTTGATACAAAGATTTATGGGTGAATATGCAAAAGCTCTTGAATCACATGAAAAAGCACTTGAAATCGAACAAAATAGTCTTCCTTCAAATCATCCGTCTTTAGCTATTTCATATAATAATATAGGTTTACTCTATGATTATATTGGTAAATATTCGCAAGCACTTACATTCTATGAAAAAACACTTGAAATTTATCAGAAAACTCTTCCAGCAAATCATCCTGATTTAGCAACATGTTATAATAATATTGGTTCTGTATATAAAAATCTAGCAGAATATTCCAAAGCACTTTTATTCTATATAAAAACACTTCAAATTGAAGAAAAATCACTTCCTAAAAATCATCCGGATCTAGCTATTACCTATAGTAATATTAGTATAGTATATGATAATATGAGAGAATATACGAAAGCACTTGAATTTCATGAAAAAGCTCTTCAAATTCGAGAAGAAACACTTCCGGTAGGACACCGAATGTTAGCAACGACGTATAATAATATGGGTTCTGTTTATGATACTATGGGTAATTATACGGAAGCACTTTCTTATTATGAAAAATCTCTTGAAATTGAATTAGAAAAACTTCCTCAAGATCATCCGGATTTAGCTACATCTTATAATAATATTGGTCTTGTATATGATAATCAAGGAATATACACGAAAGCATTATCTTATCATACAAAAGCACTTGAAATCTATGAAAAAACTCTTCCATCGAATCATCCTGATCTAGCTAATTCTTATAATAATATTGCTTTGGTGTATCAAAAAACAAATGATTATACAAAAGCTCTTCTATATTATAAAAAAGCACTTGAAATTCGACAAAAATCACTTCCATCGAATCATCCTGATTTAGCTATTTCTTTCAGTAATTTATGGCAATTATATCAAAGTATGGGAAATAATGTACAAGCATTTCAAATTTATCAACAATCAATTCAAACTGATGAAAAAAATCTTGAATCTGATCAATCATATAACGCTATCGAACAAGTTTATGACAATAAAGAAGAATTACCAAAAAAACCTTCATTGATCAAACCTCTTCTTAAAAATATACGAATTTCACATCTTCCAAAACAATTTCGTATAAAAAACTTTCGAATGGAATTGAAATTAAGAGCTAAAAAGAAATAAAAATTTCAGTATAACTGCCGAGGATCATTAAGAGTAAAATATTTATTTTTTATTTTCTTCTGTCTGTTGAATATCGTCATTCAAATATAATCAAAATATATATATTTATAAAACCAATAATCTTCTATGCCTTTTACCAACATAAGATATTTTTCACACCATATTTCCAATATATTAGTAGCAATCGAATCCAAAATAAATACATACCATATGTGTATGAATCATAATGATAAAATTTTCACTGCATATAATGTACTCTATCTCTTCCGAATAGAGAAAAAAAATTGAAAGAAAGCCTATGATAAAGACCAAAGGTGAGCAAATTGTGTTATCAGTCATGTGCCCTTTTATCATTATCATCATCTGGTTCTATCGTCCCATTATAAACGACACTTTTTCTTTTAGCAAACTTTCAAACAGACGTATTTGAAAATCATGCAAGTATTCTATATTCTTGGTTTCATAATTTCATTATCGACATGTATTCAAGCAACATTGGATGCTAAGGTGGGCAAATGTTTAAGTGATTTAACAACAAAAGAAATTACTATTTCACATAATTATCTTCAATTATCATCAAAATTCGGTACAGCTAATGCTTATCCAGGTTTTTCAAGTTTATTTACTAAACTAAGTGATGAAGATTCACATAAAAGTCATGAACTTGTTAAATTTATTGCTTTACGTAAATTTAAACTTGATCGATTAATTAGCAAAGATGGTATTAAAATTCATAATGATTTAACCGGTACATTCGATATTCGTGAAGGTTTAAAAGAAGCTCGTAAGCAAAATAAAGATTTATGGAAAGAAGTTACCGGTTGTCATGATGCCGCTGATAAGGATGCAAATGTTCAAGATTATCTTGAATCACATTTGCTTGATCATCATATTGAAATTGATAAACTTTTAGCTGATCTTGAACATCGTATTGATGATGCTCGAGATACTGACAAGAAATTAATCACATTTATGATTGATGAAGAACTTTTAGAAACATATGGTGATCGTCGTAAAGATATTTTTTCATAATAAATAAAAAAAACATAACTAAAAGAAAAAACAAAAATGCAGACTTCATTCTTTCTTGTTTCCTTTTTTTTTTCTTCTCTTCAATATGTCATGGCAAAACAAAAAACAAAACAAAAAAAATCAACAGCAACAAAAAAAGAAAAAGAAATGTACAAACGAAAAAAATGTTTTGATGTTTTTTATTCCTCTCTCTCAAGTCAGATCATGAGCTTGTTGTGCAACATGTACAAAAAAATCATATTTATTTGCTTTTTGTTCACCACATTGTGCACAACGAAAAGGATTATCTGAAGAATAATGTAATTGTTTATGTGTACAGTACATTGCAAAATCTTTGAAAATAATTTCACAATGAAAACATTCAAATAAACGTTTGATTTGCCATTCATCAACTTGTGTTTGTTGATCAACAGAATTTAAATTTCGTTCATCATTATCACCATCTGTTGAATATGATTTACAGGTTGAATGTTCTTTTCGTTGTCGTTTAGCAGGTGGAAGAGAATTTTCATTTGGATCATTTTTAATACATGATGATAATAGGGAATAACCACTATTAAGTAAGGACGGTGGTGATGCATGATTATTATTATTATCAAGATGATAATGATGAATATTTGATGATGATGTTGATGCTAATGAATTCGTTGAATTTAAATGAGATTGAATTTGTTGAGTAAGAAATTGTTGATATGGACCAAGAAAATCATTTAACTAAAAAATAAATAATTGTCTGTTAACCTTTACACATATGTTCACTTAACTCGATGAGTTATATTCAAGTATGCCGACGTCTTTTCTTCCTTCTGGCTAGCGACAATATATATATATATATACTACTTGTAATGGATATAAAGAGCTCAATTTCAAGTGACTTTCACTCTTCTGTTACATGTAACAGCAATCATTGGTTCGAAAATAATAAAACTTGATTAATATACCATGCAAAAGAACTACACTTCAATGTTAACAGAATCTATTCCGAAAAGTTTTACTAGTAACCATTTATTCCATCATAATATGTCACTTTCTCGATGCTAACGTTGATGATTACCTGAGGAGTAACTGCATTTGTATTTGTAAATGATCCTAGTTTTCCATTGAATAATTCCATTAATTTTGCTGTTGGATCAATAGTTGAATTATTTAGAAGTGATCGATTTAATAGATCACTTTTTTTACATGCATGTTGGAATAAATGTACACCAAGTCCTTCTTTTGAAACAGCAACATAATCACATAGACTACAAACAAGTGGTAATGGTGTTGTTGATGATTGTTGATTTATTGAATCCATTTGATGTTCATCAGTTGATATGGGTGATATTGCACCTGTTGATGAATCATTTGATGATATTGAAGATGTACGTTGAATAAGAGTTGGTACAGATGTATTTGAAATTGATTTACGTTTTTTTGATCTTGATGAACGTGTATGTGTTTTTTGTGTTGATGTTGGTACAAGTGTTGGTGGTGTTGCTGATGATGATGAATTACTATTATTTGTCATTGGATTTAATGATGTTAAATTTCCATTAGAATATTCTTTTAGAAATTCTTCAATATTTTCATCTAAATATGGTTCATGTCCTTCAATTTGTAAATGTTCTTGTAATGTTTGATACTGTTTAGATTCAAATGAACAATTTGAACATTTAAATAATAAATGACGAAAATGAGATTTCTTATGTGAACGTAACATTGAAAGATTAACACATGCATATTCACATCTAAAAAAAGAAAATAATATATATATTTTAATTTTTGAAATAAATCAATTCTACTTTGAACATTTAAATGGTTTTGAACCAAGATGATTTCGTAAATGATATTCAAGATGATGTTTATATTCAGTAACAAATGGACAACTTGGACATTCAAGAATTTTATCAGCTCGGATATGTACTCGATGATGTGCCCAATAATCTTCCTATAAAATACATAAAAAAATTCAGTTAGAAAGAAAAATAGAATTAAAATATTTTACTTTAATACTAGATACAAATGAACATTGTCGACATCGATGAACTTTAGCTTTACTTGATGGAGTCGATTTTTCACTGTTCGTACCATTTAATGTTTCAGATGATTTTATTGATGTTGGTAAAGGAAGTGAAACTTCTTCAATAGATGTTGGTTTTGTATGATTAGTAGATGTATGAGTTAGATTATGTTTATCAAGATTTGACAATGAATCACAATAGAATCTATTGAAAGAAGATCTTTTAAAATAGACAAGGACATTAAGTTTCAAATCAACTTACCCGCATGAATAACATTTATATGGATAATGAATAGAAACATGATCAAGTAGATTATCTTGATTAGCTTTACAGCCACATCGAATACATTCAACTGATCCATTCGTTTCAACACGATATAATTTTAGAATTTCTTCAATAGTTGACAATTGTTTAGGCCATTCATTATTCTAAATAGATCAATATTTTCTTCTTTCTTAACAATTAATAAACTATTTTATAACATACTGATGAATTATTATCTTCATGAATATTACTATTTATCACTTCATTATTTACAGGTGATTCTTTCATTTCCTGTATGATACAGAAATAAAATTCAATATGAAAAAAAAAATATGAAAGAACTTACCGATAGATTATTATTATTATGATCATCATCATTATCACTAATCGGTTCGATAGAATCATTATTCGATTGAATGATCTACAATATAAAATTGTTAATAACTCAATTTCTGATATATACTTTGGAGATGTTGAAAAACATACCGAATTTGGTCGTTCCACACGTGCAGACAATGACCAAGGTCGAAGTGGTTTACGGCGCTATTAAAAAGAAAATAGTATTTTGATTTGTAAAAAGAATGACCATCATTTTTTTTCTTATGTATAACATACGCGACTAGCACTTTTGACAGGTTCATTCTCATTGATCGATAAAGTTGTACTTGATGGTCTGATTAACTATATAGACATATTTTTGAAGTTTATAAGTAAAAAAAATAATAGAACTTACCGAAACCGATGAATTAATTGTGTCATGTGAAATAGCAATATCTGTTGTTGTAGATGAATTGTCAAGCATAGCTAATTTCTTTTTAAGTAAAAGTGAAGGCTAAATATAAAAGAAAATGGGAAAATCCTATTCATGTTTTTTTTCTTCTTCTTTGCAGATATCAATCTCTTACATATGATATATCATGAGTTGCTGTAACATCGGAAATAATTGGTGTTGATATAGGTATCATATTAAAGTTTTCTGTTAATGCTGGAGGTGTCGGAGATGTATGCTGCATCTTAAAATTCTAGAGAAAAAAAAGTGGATAAGACTTATTTGATATCTATTTAGATAAATCTTTGTAAAAGATATATATAAAATAATCTGGCCTCAGTTAGGAGTGGCGTGTGTATTTTTGTTCGCCGATTTGTCTTCACTCTCGTTTGTTTTTGTGATCGCTCTTTCTCTCTCTCGTGCCTCCATTCTCTTTTTTCCTCTCTTGGTTCGTGTACAAGTAAGATTTCTTGTTCTCTCTTTCTCTTTTTGTATAATAATGGCAGGTTCAGAAATGGCTTTTTCGAGGTGGACGACGGCGCGCAAAGCAGAAAAGAAGAATATCTTTTCCTTTTCTTTTCCTTCTTCATAAACGAGAATGTGCGTTCGCATAGGCCCTCGTTTTTTTTTCTTCTTTTTTTTTCTCTTTTTTGTACATATGTATACAGACATACACATACATATGTCTAATTGTATTTCTCGCCGAGGCGATTTGACCATCGGTCGACGATGAACGATGACGAAGCCATTTTTCTCTTCTTTCTTCTTTTTCTACTATACTATTCACTTTTTTTTGCGCTATACTCTCATCGTCACCGTGAACTAAGAGTCCAATGTGTATACAAAATAAATATTGTAGAATGTATACCGAAAGAGAACGACCCCCGAATTTATGATGATTTTTTTTTCTTCTCTTCCTCTCATGTTCAACACAATAGTGAGGTGCCTTTTCTTTCCCTTTCTCTTGTATTCTTCTACGATTTGTACAGAACAGCATAAATGGACATAAGTATATACACATAAAAAACAATTGAGAAAGAGAAAAATAATAATGAGAAAAATTATGCGCGATGATAGCGGTGACCGTGTCTGTTAGTCGTTAGTAGTCTGAATGAACCTTGATCTTTGTATTTATATGGGACAACTGAGAGAAAAAGAAAAATAAAGCATGTAGACTCATTAAAAATGTTCTGTTTTATAAAACATTTCTATTTTTCAAAGAAAAAACTTCAACGTTCATTTGCATAATCTGTTCATGAAACCTTACTAGTAAACATTACAAAGGCATCATTCACAATTTGACTTTGGTGAGAAATCGATCAGACATTTAACAAATATGAATATTTTTAACTAAAAACAAACCATTTTGATTCGGTCATCAATGTGTTTACCTTAAAGAAGAAAAATATCAAGTTCACTTTTTTTTTCTTCTTCTTTCTGTTCAATTTAACGAAAATAAACGAACGAGACCATCGATGAATGAATAACAACACAATAGAGAAAAGTTCGAAGGTTATTTTTTCAAATAAGCACAAAACGAGACGAGAAAAAAAATATCTCATCACCTGTATCTAAACTTAATCCATTAGGTAAACAGTTCATTGTAAATGAGTATGCATCAATTTTTTTTTCAATCATTACTTCTTTTCTCTTTCTATGTACGTGAATAAAAGTCGTTTTCGTTTTTTTTGTTATATGTCCGCTGGTTATTATTCAAAATAAAGACTCTTTCAATAGATTGAACACGTTCATTCTGTATATTTAACAAAACATACATGATTTATAATAGTCGTTTATTTTTCTCATCTTTTATTCAATATTGATATTATTATTTAAGAAAGAAAGAAATTAATGGATATTTCAGTCCAATTATAACAAAAATATATTTACCTACATAGATTAGGTATAATGTTTAGTAAAAAACAAAGCTTACATGGGAATATTTTCCTGTACAGCGAACGTTCAAGTTCGATTATTTCTAGGCAAATCACAGGATTTTTAGATTAACCATGCTGAGTCCTCACACATAGTGGCGTAACCAGAAATTTAAGGGTGATGGGGCTCAGCCCCAAAACCAGAAATGGACAACTCAGTTCGAAAAATGACGAACTCAATTTAACTCAATCTCATTCATTAACCTAGTTGAATTCAATTGAGTACAACTATTTAGTATGGCTGAAATGAATTGAATTGAAAAAAGTTTCAAAGAGTAGTGATTGAATCGAAATTAACTCAAAAAGAATCGAAAATTATTTTTCAGAAAACAAAATTCAAATAATAAAAGTAGTCAAAAATCTAGTCCTTGTTTCGATTTATTTTGTAATTTCTGTATACATCTTTAATATCTAGTTAATGAATCACATGTGCATTTACCTATATCTATCAGAACTGAGCAACTCAATTGAGTTGAATTAAATTTAAAAGTTTTTTTCACGAATTGAATTGAATTAATTCGCTTTTTTCTGCTGAGTTGCCCAGCCCTGCCCAAAACTGTCTAGTCTTTTGGATTTTTTGATTGCCCGGTTTAGTGACTAAAAAAGCTTATCAGCGCAGCCCCGCTGGAGCTAAAAATGTGGAACTTACGTATGTTCGCATCAACATATCTGATCATGTTTAAGCGCTTTGTCTTCTTTTTCTGCTCAAATTTAGTTAATTTATAGCTATTTTTGACAATTTTTGGTTATTTATATTAAATTTGCGACAGTATATAGCTATTTTTAGCGATTTGTCATTATTTTCATAAAAATTCCCGCAATTTATAGCCATTTTCGTTATTTTTTTTATTAAATTTGTAGTAATTTTTGGCTATTTTTGCTTATTTTTATCAAAATTCTACTAATTTATAGCTGTATTTAACCATTTTGCTTAAATTTTATAGAAAATCCCGCAATTTACAGCTATTTTTAACGCTTTTTCAGTATTTTTATTAAAATTTTTAGCAATTTATAGCTATTTTTAATGATTTTTGCGTATTTTTATTGAATTTGCGAGGGGGGAGGGGAGCTGGGAAACTTGAACTTAAAACTTACACTCACGATTTTCTTCGAAAACTTACGTGAGTTCCACAAAATCCGGGTGATGGGGCTTAAACACTCGGTGATGGGGCTAAGCCCCATCTGGCCCCCCCCTGGTTACGCCACTACTCACACAGTAAAATCAATGGTATACAAATTGAAGAATTAGTTGTATGTTGATAGAATATAGTACGATTATTCTAACTAACGACTTCATATTTGAATAAATGGTGTAAAAGAAATTTTTTTCAGTTAGATAGCATACTGTGAGAGTTAGACATGGACGATACCAGTCGTGATACTTTGATTGTATTGTTTTAAAAAATAAAATCTTGAATTAAGTATTCCAGGTTTGAATAATTTCAAAGCATTGCGAAAATAATTTAAAAAAACAAGGACCTATTAATTAATAATAACAATTAACTGTTTTTCATGTAAACGAAAAGAACGAATGGAACTCATATCATACAAAATTCTGGAAATTTTAACATAGGTGATTCCGATATCGATTCTAAAGAAATTATTACTAGTTCCAGTCCGGATTCAAGTCCAAAGAAATTTGATTTTGCTCATCCCTAGTGAGAGTAGCTACGCTCGAACTGTAGGTATATGCCAACAATTTTAATTTTCATCTATATCTTACAAGTGTAAGTTTTATAATATTTCAATTTCTCTTTCTTCTATTCATTGTTATCTACTGTCTTGATAAGACAATATTTGCTGTAAGACAAAATTTCATCTACCTCGTGGATTGACTATTATACTTAGTTTTAAGTTTCATAAACAACAATATTTAATGGTATGTATGTATACATAAATTTCGCTCCATCTGTTGTTGTTGTTTTTCTTTCTAGGCAAATCTAACGAATGTTTTCGAAAAACTTTGGAAGAAAGTTTATCACATGGCAATCATACTTTCAAAAGAATCATCGTTGTCTTATCAAATAACTCTTGAATATCATACGATATTTCATATTCCTGATGAATTAAAAATTAAAGAACAAAAAATAATTGATACCATTAAAAAAAATCTTTCTCGTACACGACCAGTAATTGTTAGTACTGATCAATTAGAAGATTATATTAAACGTATTGAATTTGCGAATGAAATTATATTAAGTTTAGATTATTTAGTTAAAAAAACATTTGATACATATATTAGTTTTATTAATACATATTGGGAAACAAATGAAAAATTTGAAACAACTGAACAACTCAGAATATTATCTGAAAGATACGATATGTCAATGACAGAATGGCAATTTTTATTAAGTAAAATTGAACGATTTAATGACTTAGTGAAAGGTTATATTTAAAATTATTCAATCTTTATTTTTTTTATTTACATTGATATTCTTTATTATGAAAACATATAAATAAACATTTTAATTGTCAATATATTTACGATGTAATGGTCGTCGTTTTTCGATTCTATACAATGGAATAATGGGTTGATTTGCAAAATTATTAGTTATGTTAGAACTATGCATAAAGAAAAAAAAAATAAGAAATCTTTTCTTAAATAAGATTTACCTGGATGTTAAATCTTCGTATGATTTTGATAATGTTGGTTCAGATTGAGTAGGAAAAGTTTCGTTTTGTTGTTCATTATCAATCAAAGATGGAGAAGATATACTAGGTTTTAACGTTGATTCTGATTCAATTTGATCATCTATAAATTCTTTTAAGTATAAATAATCATCGATTAGAACAACAAACCTTCATTTGCTGTTTCGAGAACTGAAATAATAATATTTCGAAAGCTATTGATTAACTTTTGTTCTTCATTCGGTTTTTCAGCTACTTGTATTGAAGTTCTTGTTGAGCTAAAACTAAAGACAAATATAATCAATATTTACATCAGTAGAAATCATTCTCACTCAGTATCTATTGTTGAATGAGATGAATTATTTTCATCTGCTGTTATTTGTTGTGCATGTAAATCAACAATATCTTCTTGATTATTTAAAATAGTCATCTGACTCAATTCTTGAAAAAGACGTTCCATTAATTGAAAACATGATGGTCGTTGTTGTGGATCATGATTCCATGCATCTTGTATCACTTGTTTATATTCTTCAGGTATATTTAATGGTATACTTGGTCGTTTACCTAATTTAACTTGAATTAATATAATACTTTCATCATCATATTCATCCCATGGAATTCTTTCTGTTCCTAATTCCCAAAAAACAATTCCGAGACTATAAATATCACTTTGTTTCGTATGTCGACTATGTGGAAGTAATAATTCAGGTGCTTTCCAATAAAACGAACCTACAGTTTGTGAAGTCGGAAATAATGATGATTGTAAAAATGTTTCACGTCGAATTTCCGCTAGACCAAAATCACAAACTTTAACAAGATATTTTTGATTAGGTGATCCATTATATTTCAACAGAAAATTCATTGATTTTATATCACGATGAAGTATCGTTGGGCTTAAACTATGTAAATAATTTATTGATTTTGACATTTGCCATGCAAGAGAATATCGATCAGACCAATCAAATGATATTTCTTCTTCATGTTTTTTATGTAGAATATCATATAGAGACCCCAATGGCATATATTCAACAATAATTGCATAAAAATTCGGTTCAATACATGCACCAAGAACAGTTAAAACATTTTCATAACGTATACGATACATTGTTGAAATTTCTCGAAGAAAATCATCTCGAACATTTGATAAATGATTAATACGTATAATTTTAACCGCAACTTGATCATGATGTGTTAACCATATTGCTTTATAAACATCAGCAAATCCGCCATGACCCAGAGATTTATCTTCGATATATAAATCTTTATAGGGTATATGTAAAAATTGTTGATGTTCTCTATGAAGATATTGTGATTGATAAGAATTTTGTTGCATTAATAAATTTTGTTCGAGTGAATAACGAAATGATTGAAAACGTTTATCAATCATTTTATCAATAAATTTATATTGTTCACATTGTTTTTCTAACATTTTTTGTGAAATTTCATCTAATTTTTTATTTAATTCTTTTAAATCTTCACGTTGATCTTCTTGATCTTGTTTTTGATTGAATAATTGTTGAATATTTAAACCAAGTGATAAATCTTGTCCGAGTTGTGATAATCGTTGATTTAATTCATGAAATTTTTCTTCGCTTTTTTTATATTCATAAATTTCTTCATACCATTCATTTGATGATTTTAATTTTTCTATATATACATTACAATCATCGATACATTGAAGAAGTTTATCAAGAATCAAACGTGTTTCATTGCGTAATATTGATGATGATGCATATTCTAAACGTTCGAGAGGATCAATTAATTGATCAATACGTTCACAAAGACGTTCACATTGGATTTTATTTGCATAAACTTTCGAGACATTCTGACGAATTTTATTTCGTAGAGAAATTATTCGATCTATAGATGATGGTGATGATGAAGTCATGTTGAAACACGTGTAAAGGTAAAGTAGAAGAATGAGAGTATGACTTTTTTTTTTATTTTACTTACTTTTCTTTTTTTTATTTTATAACCTTGAAACGATAGATGATACTTATGGTTGTATATTTATGTTGACAAAATAAGTTCCTATCAAGAAATATTGCCTAAAGATGTATGTATAAACGTTTTTTTTTGCTGGTATATTGATCACAGCAAGGTTGTTTTTAAAAGAACTCTGCGGGTATGTTTTAGTTTTTATTCTAGTATGTAATTAATTCGTATCAAATATTATTTTGTATTTATATGTATTTTTGATAATATAAGTTTTATTTGAAGAGCATAATATTTATTTATTTATGTGTATCAAAATAGCTCTAACTTAAATATTTGAAATATTTCTCAATTAGAAATTATATATATATATATCGTTATTTAGTTGTATAAAGTTAAATAATGACCTAATGCCAATTTTATTTTGAATGTGGAGGAAGATGAAAATAATATTAGCAATAAAAAAACGGAACATTCGTATACACAGAATACTATAACGGTTCATCTATTTTTATATAGCAAGGCGTTCAACAAATATTCTTAATGTATGTATGACAAGTCAAAAAGAGCAAAGCCCAGAATTACAAGCTCCAAAAAGTATGCAGTGTAACTTTAAAATTTTACTAGTTGCATTATTGTAAAATATTTTAAACAAACTTATTAGTTTAATTGTCTTGTCATAGTGCATATAGATAAAAGAGTTCAAAATTGATTTTGATGTGCAATGATAGAGAGATCTATACTACAATTTTTTATAAGTTTTACTTTTTCATAAAATTAACTTTATAATTCATTCATTCAATATCAAACTGTTAGAAAATGCTTGATTACTTGATGAAAGTCAAAACTAATATTGATCAACTCTCATTCACATCTAAATATAATCATATTCGCATGTAGATCGCGACAGTCTATGGTCAAGTGAATCTAGTTTCGATAAACGTTACTTGTGTATAAGTTAATTCAATAGAACTAATTTTCAATAAACCATGAAGGTTTTTTTATGCTCAATCAAACTTTGATAATAAATAAAAATACCCGAAACAAAAATTATTATGTAAAAACTGTAGTGAATATAACTGATAACATATCTTTTCGTGAATTACTATAAAAAAAAACGTGTCTTTTCACGATCAAATAAGTCGATCAGTGCTTAAGTGTAACAAAATACTATGCATGATTGATCAAAAGTAACTAAATAAGATACGTATGCGTCATTTTCTACTTACAAACATTAATGAAAGGTAAAGTTTGATCTTCGTCTGTGTGTTTTATTCGTACAATATAAAAATCAAATATATTTGTTTAGTCATGAGAATGATAATTCATTTCCAGCGAAATAATGTTCGTAATATTTATCTTATAAATTAATTTCATTTTTTTTGTTATATTATTCGTAAAATGCACAATATAGAGCAGCGACAATATGCCTCTATTATTCAACATGAATCATTTGTGCATCTAGATTATTCTCAGCAAGTAAAGTATTATATATATAACGTGCAAACAAAACTGATTTAATTTATCTAATATATGAACAAATGACAACCAAAATAACTATTTTTATTTCTATTCAACCATGAACGACAGAAAGTAAATATTTCTTTAAAATTTTTAAATATTTAAATTTATTATTTTAGACTGATCAATGCGTTTAATTATTTTTGATCAGGAATTCATCATAAAAGAAAAGCAAGTAAAACTAATTATTTGTAAAAAAAAAAAGAAACAAATTCGTAATCATATATTTATATATAGTTTACAGGTTTTTTTGGATACGGAAACGGAATTTTTCTCAAGTTATATTCGTGCTGAAGATTGTTACTTATACATTGACATCAATAGCATTTGGAATTTTTACAACCATCATGTCAGATTATAAAAACACTTTTTAACAACGATTTCTTTGTTTTAATGAAGTCAAGTGAATGGTACGAAAAATTTTATCAATCAAACGTTTGGAAAACCTCGCCCAATAAATTCTTGAATCAATTCAAATGCATAATAAAACATCTTTTTTTTTATTTATTTATTTATATTAATCAGCATTAGTACATAAATCATCAATATTTCTTTTTATAATCGGCGTCTATATTAATTGTGTAACAAAACAAGAACAAATTAACGAAAAAATGAGGTATTAATTCAATACTGAAAACAATGATCAATAGTTATTTATCACCCACGTAAATCTCTCAAAGTATTCATAACTTTTAGCAGATCATAAATAACATACAGACACTTTTTTATGAGACGTGTATTATAAATAAAAAAAATATATGTATATTTTCACATTATTATTATACCATAGATTTTTATACGATTAAATTAGTTTGACCCAATCGATCTAAGGTGTTAATGATCATCATGTACATTAAAATTTTGTTTGAAGATATATCTCTATTATCCTATCTATTGGCAATAAGTTCAATGTCTAAAATGTGTTATTTACGCAGATGTTCACTACCTTTGATAATACATTATAAAACGAAAAAACAAAAATGATTATTTTATCATTGATCATACTCATCATTTTATATATATATCAATATCTATACTCTTATTGTCACCAAATTTTGTCTGAGTGAAAAAAAGCATCTCTTAAGAAGTCGATGTCTACCTTTTTGTTGTTCAATTAAGATACTTTATGTCTTAGTTTGTTTATGTTCATCAGTATTTATCCGTCTGAGATATAACTCATCATTTTGACGCCTTTAAGTCGAATAAAATTTTCTTAAGGCATTTTGATTGCATGTTAAATATCATAAATACCTTTCTTATTCTATATAAAGTCACTAGAGACATGAAATATAATGATGATCATCATCATGAGTAATGCCGAAATGAATCAACATTTTATTGTGAGATTTAACAAGTCGATATGAAAAAATTCTTTTATCTTCTTAAATGAACAAAACATTTCGGTGACATGAATGATGAAATTGAATATATATGCATGATTATTTATTCGTTTTGTTTTCCGGTGAACACACGTGTCATTTGTTTGTCAACGAAGACTAACTATATTAAAGATCAAAAAAATCATACTTGACTTATACACGAATGAATGGAAAGCTTGTTGTCATCGATAACTAAAGTGAATCACTAGGATATTCTATACAGTAATACTTAACATTCAAAATCTCTTCAAAACGTTCTTTTTTTGACAAAACAAATTCGATGAGCGAAACTAAGATGTATATCGAAAGGAATTTAATGTATTGAAACAAATGAAAAGGACAATTAAACAATAGGTAGAAAAAAACATCTGTTGTCCATCTGTTCCCGTATTTAATGATAATGATATGTGAAACGAGAGAAAAAAAAGTAATCGATTGAATATTTCCGTTTTCTTTTAAGTTTTTAAATTTCGTGTTACATCCTTTATTTTTATTTCAAATATGTTAAATTTTATTTACATTTATCACTGTTTTTACAACCGGGACGAACAAAAAAAAAGAGAAGAGAAGAAAATTTATACAAGTGAAGCTTGAATGTCTATTTGTTTTAATTTTAAATTAATATCTTTTTTTTCAAGAATTTTTTCATTTGATTCTTTGAATATATTTGTTGATGCATTATTTTCCACTGTCCAAATTTTTTCAAAATTGATTTCTTGAATTTGTCTTAATTGTTTACGTTTTTGATTGGAATATTTATAAAATATACATGATAGTATGATTAATATTGATATAAATAATACGATAAAGAATAATAAGATAATTAATTCCATTGAGAATATTTTTCCATCTTTTTTTTGTATAAGTCGAATATCAATTTCACAATATTGTCCAATAAATTCTTTTGTACAAATACATTTCTTATTTTCACATCGACCATTATTACGACATATTGGACATTTTAATTCAATTTCACATTGTTTACCTTCATAATTTGGTGGACAAATACATTTTCCTAATGAACTTAAACCACCATTTAAACAAATACGTTCTTCACATAATAAACCTTGAAAACCTAATGAACATTGACATTTTGATTTAATAGATTTTCCACCATTTTTACAATCTAATTTTTCATTTGAAATTTTAATTAATTGTTTTAATGGTACTTCACAATTATCTCCTGTCCATCCGCGATGACAAATACATTGGTCGGGTTGATTTAAACAATGTCCATGTTGACAACCTTTACGACAAATAGCTAAAAGAAAGATATATATGTCATCTGGATTTAATTCACAATAGAGAAAACTGATCCTTACCTTTATTACAATCAATTCCAGTCCATCCTTGTTGACATATAATATCACCTGTTTGAGGATCACATCGTGAATGTAATGAGAGTGGAGAACAAAAACGTGAACATTGTGAACCATAGAAATTTGTTGAACATGATACTCGATAACGAAATGAAAATTCATGAGAAGTTAATGAAGAATCAATTGTTTGAGAATGTTGCCATGAAGATGAATTTGGATAAATTGATGAACGTATTGTTGTTGACATGATTAATTCACGTGCACTACCTGGATATGGTTGACCATCATACGTTTTATCATTAAATATATCAATATGAAGAACAAAATCTCCCTACAAAAAAAGATTATTTTTAATATTCTATAGAATAATAATAATAATAATTATTTACCATCCAACTAAATTTAAATGGTAAAACAATAATATTAGCATATTGTGGTGAACGATTAAAATCAATATTATTTCCGCCAAGTATTGGTGTTTCATCAAAACTATATGTACATTCTTGATTATTAACTATTGATGGACGATTAATATTATCCAAATTTGGGTTTGAATTACGTAAACAAAAACGAATAAATGTTTTACATGGTGAAATACATGAAAAAAATCGATCAGGTCCATTACAACATGTACCATTTATATTTAAACCTTTACGATTAACTAATCGTTCTAATTCAATTTCAAATTTACCAGCACTTGTACATAACTATAAAGAAAAATAGAAATTTTATATTTAAATAATAAGTTTTTCGAAAAAAAATATTTACTTGAATTTGAAGCATAAAAATGGAGAAAACGTAGAAGAAGAAGAAATAGTTCATCATGATGATCACGAATGAAAAGAATAATTATTCATTTTCTTCTTTCCTTATATATATATATATACCTATGCTTACTGAATTTTTCATCATATCGATTCGATGAACCAATAGAAAAAAATTAGCACCTTTCTCTCTCTGTCTCTCTCTCTCTCTGCTTCTCGTCGTCTGACTGGCGGCTAGGTGTCAATTATGGACAACAACTAACCATAGAATATCATCGACTCAGACACGCGATTCAAATAAAATATTTCGATTGTATAACTATTGTCAAAATCTTTTAACAAGTCTGCTAAGATTTCATCAGTTTTATTTAGCACTAGATTCGGTTTTTTTGAATATTTTTTGTCGAAAAATATCAATTTCTTTGATAATAATGACAGATAATTGATCATTAATTTTCAGCTGTTGAAAAGAAAGAAAACAATAATAATAACAACATTCCTTGTCGCGCTCTCTCTCATCTCTATTATTAATCATCAGCGTTTATATTGATCAGGTTCACTTTAAACAATATTAGCTTCCTTTGTATTAGATCCTAATAGAAAAGAGTGTTAAAACTAAATGAAATTATGTCTTGGAATTTTTTTTTTTTGTATTTTCTTAGATATGAAAAAAATGTTATATTCGTTTCAGATGTGTTCATTGTTATTTATTCGAATGATGACGACATCATAGGGAGTGACATATCAATATGATATCAGTAGGAGAGAAGAAGACAAATATGTATAGACTCCAATTAGTGATATTGAACAAGATCGATAATACTGATAGACACCACCAGAGGTGAGACAAGATTTCGTTTTGTTTTTCGCAGAATAGTGTTAAGAAAAAATGATTTATTCTCGTTCGATAATCGATGATTTGACTTCTATTTTCAATGTTTTCTTTAGCCAAATGCTGTTCAGCCAAGCATTATATATGTATATATTATAAATGCGAGACATTCATTGATTGTCAATTGTTAGTGAATAGAAAAAAAAACGAAATATGTAATATGATGAAATTGCAAGCTGTTCAGAACAAAACAAATAATTTTCAATTAAAGTATTTTTGTATACAAACTATCAACATATCACATCTACAATGGCCTCAAGGGATATTTTTTATACAAACAAATATATCAACATTTGTTCAAGACAAATGAAATATAAGAAAAATTACTTGATTTTTTTTATTCTTTTCTTTTCTTCGAATATATCATTTATCTTGAATATGACATATTTGAATTAAATAAAGAAATGAATGCCATCATTGACATTCTCTATTGAATAATTTTCAACTTAGATGTGTATGATGGTTGATGAAGCATTCTTAATCAATTTTCAATGATGAATTTAGACAAAAAACAAAAATTTATTTACACGAATTAAAACATATTAAATATTCGTACAGTGTAAAATAGCTGTATTTAAAATCTTGAGGGTGTAGGTGTAAGGGAGGAGCAGTCCCGAAAAAGCTGACAACTGAAGTTTTTGAGTGATTTCATAGTTTTGAAGAATTTGGGGCTTTTGAGTAAAATTAAGAAGTATTAAAATCTATATCACATTATCCATTATATTATTATAGTTTATGGTGTTAACATTCATGATGTTATAAGACTATACATATTTTCTAAACCTGTTTAAAAGTTTTATTTATGGTTGAAAACGATCGTTTAAAGATCGCAAGTTTCCAAATTATTATTAAAATAAAATTTTGATTGAACTACTACATTTATTATAGACTATGTATTTCACTTAATGGTTTAGTTTTATTTTTTAATTGTCGATCATTAGAGCAAACAGATTCATATATACATTTAGTAGAATAATTGTTAATGAATACTTTTGAATTTTTTTTTATTCAAATTAAATAAATTCATCAACTTATTGAGTTTTGTACAAAAAAAAAGAATAGAAAATTAAAGATTAAAAAAAGTTATTTAGAACTTTTTTTGAGCTTGCTCTTTCAGCTTCATCTAATTCACAAATCGAACGCCAAGTGTACAGAATCTTGATTAATATTTATCATCACTTAATACCAATATGAATTTCAATAAAATCTCAAAACCAACCATTTTCATCTTTTTTTAGTTATTCATCATTATTATTATCTAATCGATTAAATTTAAGCGAAACAACAAAGCTAACATCACTACAACCGACTGAATTAGTTTTTTCATTAGTTGCATCACTGCAAAAATTATTGGTATCAGATCATGAAGTAAATATTTGTATCTGTTGTAATGAAGCACAATTTTTGACGTTTAATCATTGTCATTATTATTGACATTGCGATCATGTTGTATGTAGAGTATGTTCATAATGAATGACAATAATAAAAAATTATTTGAATGTACATGTCAAGATTATTATGAATATATGCAAAATAATCTAATATCAATGATAAGTTCTCGATCAGAAACAAACAATTCAATAAAAAAAATCTCATAGTTTTCATTTTCTTTTCACTTTGATAAAAATTAAGAGATATGTATAATGATAGATATAATTTTTGATTATTCATTCTGATAAATAATTCATTGAGAATGTAAGTATGGGTGAATAAAATAGAATATTCACACTCACACCCATATCCTTACTCTCGTTTCATCGTAGAAAAAATCAACAGTCTTTCCATTGAAGAAAAACCAATAGTCACTTCATTGAAGAAAGATCAACAGTCGTTCTATCGGGGAAAAATCAATAATCACTTGCATTTTTTCATATCTACAAGAAATATAAAAATAACTCCACACATAAGACGAACAATATTCCTTCTCACTCGTTCAACTACTAGTGAGGGTATTAGCAGGTATGCGGTAGACTATGGATTTTCTTTTTGTCAACACCCACACCCTCAAATAATGTATTACACCTGTCAACTCGTTGCAAACTTTCTCAAAGAGGATTTTTTGAGAAGTGATTGATATAATATTCTTCTTCTAACCTACACAGATAAAGTCATCTTTTGCTTTTTTGCTTATTTGGCTAAAAGTGACTGTTACGACTCAGTCAGTATCAAACCTTTTCCAAAGAAGAACTTGTAACTATGAAAGATACAATAACTATCCTATTTTTCTCTCATTTTGGATAATCTTCTTATGAATAGACGTTTATAAGATTTGGATATGTTCACTCTGATATGTAAAACAAGGACATACATTATCTATATTGAATTATTTCTCGATTTTTAGCACGAAATAAGAGTTAAATAGATAGTAAACTTATGCAACTATTTTCTAGACGAAACGGAACACAAATGAATATAGAAAAAGAAAAGAACAAACCAATTGGTCAGAGAAAGAAAGAAAAAAATCTTTTTTTCCTAACGTTACAGTAAAGTCTTCTTTTATCACATTTATATGAGAGATAAATACATTTAAAAAAACCTTTTTTTCTTCCTAATCTACAGTAAAATGTTTATTTATCACATTTAGATAAATGAGAAATAGATTAAAAAACACTTTTCTTTTTTTTTCTTTCTAACCTACAGTAAAATGTTCATTTATTACATTTATATAAATGCGCAATCGATCAAAAAAACTTTTTTTTTTTGCGTGTGTGTGTGAGTATGGGTGACACATCGCTGAGCAGTCTCGCCCACACCTACACCCTCACGATGGTCGATCGATTCTGTCAGTTTCGTATCTATATAAAATAGTTTGACCCTATTGAGTCGAGTCGAGACGCAGGTGAGTCACATCAACGAACGTGTTACTTGTCGTCCTACATTGAAAAAATCAATATTTACCGAACACAAAAAATGTAGATTATATTATTATACTATGGGTTAAAAAAAATAAATCACTATTTATTTAAGATGGATTTTATATGGAATTGGAAACGATCATTCAGTAAACCTGTGAACATAATTTGTATAATACTCACTGTTCTGGGGTTAATGAAAATCTTCAACTTTCATCATTTTTGTTAGTATATTGAAGGATTATTTTTGTTATAAGCACATTTTTTTTCTATAATATTATCAGGCAATTTTAATCATTGGAATCAAATCGGTTTCAAAAGTAAGAATCACAATAATCAAATCAATGTATATATAAGCACATTTTTATTGAATTTGATATTTTTCAGTTGATCCTCCCTATCACCAAGATGGAATTGTCTATGATTATTATTCGAAAAATGACCTCAAACAGTTAAAAACCAGTTATCAGTGGAAAATTTGGCCATTACCTCAAGAAGTAGACCCACTTGCAAATAATTCTTCGATCATTAAAATTGAAACTTCGCCATTTGCTATGTCAAAACTTCTGTTTATTGATGTTATTTATATAATGACTAATTCACGCTTAACTGAACGTCATGATCATCTGAAAAAAGTCTTTCATCGCCAAGGAATTTCAATGGAATCAGTAAAATGGAGAATGAAATGGAATCAAACAACATGCAATTCTAATTCTACTCATTCATATGTTTATAAACAACTCAATCTGAAAGATAAACCTTTAGGTAATTATGAATTGATTTCTTTAATATTCTTAAGAATATTGAACATAATGTATACTGATAAAACGTATCAGGATTGTTATTTAAAATATATATTTTAAGTTCTTAATCTACTTTTTGTATGATAGATCAAGAACAACAACGAAGATGTGCAATAACGATAGAACATGTCGATGTATGGCACGAAATTATTGAACAGAAACTTCAATTAGCATTAATTCTTGAAGACGATGTGATATTTGTTCCATTTTTTAAAGAAAAATTAACTAGAATGATTTATACAGCTATTCGTAGTGGAGCATTACGTATGAATGGAACATGTGCAAAGATAAAAGATAAACGAATGACAGATAACGAATGGATAAATCAGAATCCAATGATTGTTATTGGAACATGTTTCAATCTTCATGATCAATATTTTCAAAAGCATTTATCAGATGCACCACCACTTTTATCAACTCATAAACGGGAAGTGTCGAGATGTACTCATGCTTATTTATTAACATTATGTTCAGCACAAGCATTAATTAATCAAATTCAAGAACAAAAGAATGATTTTCTACCATCAGATCATATGCAAAATTATTTAATTCGTTTATCACCTACTCTTCAGTCATTTTGGATGGATCCACCATTAGCTTATCAAGGAAATCAAATTAATGATACCGACAAATTAGAAACATTCAAAGTTCAGACTTACAAATAACAATTAAATATATTTCTTATAGGATTAACACAGATTTCATAAAAAGTCGATATTTGATGGGAGTGGGGTGTGGGTGTCGCTTTTCTTTCTCTTACGCACCGACACTACTCAATAACATTATTTTAATTCCAAAAGGAGTTTTACAAATTATCACCAATGACAAAAACAGCGAATCTTTACAATAAATAATGTTAAATCTAAGAATATTATTTAAATGCAAATTAATCAAATTTCAAAGAAAAGAAAAAGATTCAAATCTAAACACAAATATCTTTGTAATTAAATCATAAATAAAATTCTGTATTCAACTCATCACATGAAGAGAAAACTGAAAGAAAATTATACTTCGTTCACAAGTATCGTTTTGATTTTATTCGATCAACAACAATAATTTAACAATTAAAATTGAAATAAAAGTGGCATCTGAATAGATGTACATTAATAATTCTGTTACTTTATGAAGAATTTTTGAAAAGCACAAAGAAAAAGAGAAGAAATTATTATCAATGAATAAGAATAAAAACTATTTTTCATCATTTCTTTGTTCATCGATATCACCCACCAAATTATTTCAAATACGGGTGGGTGTGGGTGTGCGATAAAAGACTACCCTCACACTCAACTCCACTAGCACCCACATCCATATTCTCTCTTATAAATTCTCGATAAAGTTGTACTCCTAGACCGTAGTGATAGACGCTTAGTAAAACTGTCGGCATTCATGCCAAATGCTGAATACATTATCACACAACCTTGATACTGGAAGCATATATATATATCTAAGTCGTCTATGATGGAGTTTTTTCAGGTAATAACAAGCGTTTGTATTGAAACGTGGATAGAAAGACCTAGTCTCCATTGACTCAGGAAATGGGTATCGAAAATAGAAAGGTAGTAAAGATTTTTGAGATCTAAAGTATCATTTTCATCGGTATTAACACTCACAAACACAATGATATTCGGAATCGCATCAAATTTTCAAAATTACTATGTGAAGGTGGGTGTGTGCTCCTGTTATCTTTACAATCAGACCAATCAATCCACGCTCACACCCTCAAGATATATATCGAAAACCAGCGGAATTTAGAAGGATAATATAAAACTATGCTCAATAAGGCGAATGAAAGAGAAAAAAAATACAGTCAAGGGATCAGCACTACAGATCAATAATAGAAAGACAAATCGAAAAGCAGGATGTCAGTCGACAAACGGAATATGATATTGAATGATCGCTTATACGACATTCTTTATTTTCATATAAATGAAAAAATTGACTTTGAACATATAGGTTGTATAATCTGTGTGCCAAATTTAGTTATAATACTAAAATTGGAAAAAACATTCTATCGATCTCACTAAAACTGCATAAAGTACATTTCTGATATCTCAATGATACATTTAACTCAAAGTGGATTACTCCCTAGCAAAGAATATAGATCATTGTGAGTCATCTCGTCATAATAATGCGTGCTTTCGACATATGAATCACATGCATTTTTTTCTTGCCTTATCAAAAATGGAGTGTAGAAAACAAAACAAAGAGCTCGATGCACTTCACCTTTCACGTGCAAAAGGCATAAAAAATGTATGATGTAAACATGACGTTTAATGCAACATATAATGTCTGATGCAATGCAAAGTATGACCCCTCGTTATCAACCGTACTTTGAATGATAAACAACAAAAATATTGGTGTGCAATGGATCTATATAAAGAGATGTGATTTATTTGTTTTCACATTATTTTCTTCAACATTATTGTACAACAAAAAGTAAATAAAATGTTACTTTTATTCTTAATTGCGCTTATTCTATGCATTGGTATTACGATTTATTACCTTCTTGGACTACGACAACGTTATAAATACTTTGATCAACGTGGTATTTCTACGCCACCCTATGAATTTTTCTATGGTCATCTTAAAACATTATGGAACAGTGCATCCTATCATCGTCAGCTCGAAAGTTGGACAAAAGAATATGGAAAGATTTATGGAATATATGAAGGAGCTGTTCCAACATTGGTTGTTAGTGACCCTAATTTTCTTCAAGAAGTATTTATCAAACAATTTTCTTCTTTTCCTGGACGAAAGCCAACTTTCGGAGATTTCAGAAGTCAAAGCCTTTTCTCCGCAGTGGGTGAAAAATGGCATCGATTTCGTCATGTAATAAATCCAGCATTCTCTTCAGCAAAACTAAAAATGATGTGTCCTCTTATCAATGAATGTGTTCGTGATACAATGGAAAAATTAGCTGATCATGCAAGAGATGGTACTGAATTCAATATCTTTTTATACTATAAACAAATGACGATGGATGTCATATGTATGTATACTATTATACCTTCCTTTTGCATCCTAAGAATATCGATAATTTCCTAGTCTAGAATTATATCAAAACAAACTCAAAAATATTTCTACATATGCAATAGTTCATATGAACTTTTGACATTAGATTTGTATAGACCCATGTTCTCTTGTAATGAATAATGATTACAAATAACAGCTAACTCGTTTGACCTTCGGGCTGAGTATGATCTCATCATTTTCTATTATTTTCCTTAGTAAACTCCATGTTTAAAGTGTATGACATAAGATCTACTATATGATCGTCACTCTACTCGAGAGGATGAATCACAGACTACAGAAGAATATCTTCTAATTGCGGAGTTTTGCTAGCAATAAAAAAAGCGTTTGATTTTGCCAAAAAGCTTTAAGCTAAGTGCAACCCCTGTAGGATAGGCTAGAGCACAAATTTGACTAGGAAAATTTTCACATTCGATAACTATTTTCGAAACACGATTGTTATCATTAAATTATATATAAAATCTACTTTTTATGTAAACTTCGCATTTTCCTCTTCTAGATCTCTACAAATTTATCGTATAAACAATAATGTAGAAATTGAAACAAATTTCTTATTTAGACACTAGAAAAAAATCGTTTCTATCAACTGATGAACGGCATATTTTCCTATGATTTGAACACTAATTTGTATAGTTAGAGAGAAATACTGAAAACAAACAACAAAAAGATGTCTGAAATATCTTTACGATATATGAACCCTTATAACAACTTCAACCGCGAAGTTTTAAGAATTACTATGCGACCAGAAATATTCTTAGACAAATCCTGATCATTATCGTTTTTGATATTATTTAGGCCGATGTGCATTTGGACTCGATACTGATTTACAAAACAATCCGAACAATATATATTTTAAAAAATTGGAAGAAATCTTTGGTCGCAATGTTAGATCAAGTGGCTTTTTCAAACTTGCTAAACTGATGCCTCAATTAGCGAACATCATTGCTAAAGTCCTTTTTAGTATCATCAATACAAAAACATTCATTAATAAGCATGTCATGCCTTGGATATCCAAAAAACAATTAAATGAATTCCCTGTTGTATGGCTTCTCAATCGACTACGTGAAGTTGTTGATGAGCGACAGAAGACGGCTACTTCACGTGTCGATGTTCTTCAACTAATGTTAGAAGCGTTGAACGAAGAGAAAACTAATGTAAGTAAGATTTATCAAGCTTAAAACCATGTGCTAGAACAGCAATTCACTTAATTTGAATCACTTAATAGTCTTAATAATTCTCTGTACGATGAATGAATTGAAATGGATACCACATTGTCAATATTGTTCGATTTTCTATGCTTGAAAAGGCCTAAACTTATCATAAGTAATTTTTTCTTTTAGGATGAAATGCAGGATAGCAGCAAAACAAATTATTGGCTAACTCGAGAAGAAATTGCCAATAACGCCTTCATCTTCATGTTGGCAGGATATCAATCAACATCGACTGCTTTAGCCTATGCAACGTATGAACTTGCCAGACATCCAAAAGTTCTTCAGAAACTTCAAGCTGAAATTGACCAACTTCCATTCAATGATGATGACAATTTCGATGAAGAGATGAAAAAATATTCGAATTACGATGTAGTCGCTCGGATGCCTTATATGGACATGTTTATTTCTGAAGTATTAAGAATGTATCCCATTTCAAACTCGGCCATTCAAAGATGTGCCTCCGAAGATACAGTTGTACAAGGAATCAAAATTGATAAAGGTAATCATCAACGAATCCATTAAAGTCGTATCATAATTCGAAGAGTTTTCCTTTTTCAATTGATACACGCGTTCAACAAAAACATTTTCTTGATCTATGAAAGTTGTATATGATATGACGAATACATCTATTATAACAGTAAATTTTGTTATCATTTTCAGTCCTGCATGAATCTATGAGCCAGTATACTAGTCATTGAGTGCCTCGCAGAGTAAGACGACTGATATCAGTGCTCTTTTTGTTTACTAAATTCTATAAGATGCAGCCAATTAATAATTTTTATATTGGATGTGAAAAATTTCACTTTTTTGTGGATTAGTAAAAGCAAATTGATCGACTCGTAGAACAGATTAATTTACTATCTTAATGGATTACGAAAAATCGTTCGTATCCAAGGTGTTAAACTGACTGATATTATTTTTTAGTTTTTCTATTTGATACATCCATGTTTATCAAAAAATAATCAGATATTTGAAAAGCTTATTCGAAAAGAACAGTGGTATCATCTAATAAGATCTTAGTTTTTTATATGAGATAGTGGAAAAGAATAGATTAGCTATTAATGTTTTTAATGTAAAAAATAGCTTCTCAATCTTATGTCTTTCTCAGGTACGATAGTGCACGCTGATGTATATTCAATTCATTACGATCGTGAACTTTGGGCTCCTGAAGATCCGTACATGTTCATACCCGAGCGTCATAGTTCAAAACGTCATCCGATGGCTTATTTACCGTTTGGAGCAGGTCCACGACATTGTGTTGGCATGCGCTTTGCATTGATCGAAATGAAGATTCTACTAGTACGGCTACTTCGCGAGTATTTAATTGTGTCTGGCGAGCATCTTGAAAATAAACTTAACATTCGCGAAGGAACTGTCATCGCACCCGAAGAAATTTGGATCAAGCTAGTGAAAAGAAGTGATTGAAACACAATTTTAGAATATTTATAATTTATAGTTTTACTTTTTTTTTCAATAAATCTTAAACATGAATAAATTTAGCTTAAAATTTCATTAACTTGAATGGATGGGGGCGTATAAGAAAACAAAAAAAGACGGCGAATCTTTCTATGTTACATTTATCTAATTTGGCAAATTGTTCAATCGCTCCAAGCCAAAGATTTCACACTATGCTTTTACCCTGTTAAAAATAGTATTTTGCCTCAATGCAGTACTATTGTGACATGAGATCTTGAGGGTGTCGGTGTGGATGCATGAAATAGGTTACCAACGCTCACACCCACGTCTAACCTCACCTACCCTCATCCACACCGACCCACTGAAATAGTGAGAATTTTGTTTATTGCTTCCTAAGCATGTGCGTTTTTGTAATAGAAATTCTTACATTAACTTTAATATCTTATGGACAAAATAATGCAGTTTTTTTTCTCGCAATTGTTATAGCTACGACTCGTTCCACCAGCTAAAGTTGTTGTTTTTTTACCAGTTTGAAATAGTAAAGTAATGTATAAACAAAAGCTTCTGAAGAGAGGCCAAGCGAGAAGCCATACGCTTTTCGTTAATTTTTCTGAAGAACATGTAAAAATACAACGTGCAACTTCAGTCGCGTATTGTGCTTGCTGCTGAAAAGTAAGAAAGAGGTTCGCTCATGAAGCAAAATAATACATCGATTTTTTTCAACTACAATACTCTTGCACAAATCCTCGCTAAGCTGTGCCGTTAGACCGTAGTGATAGACGCATAGTCAAACCATCTATATTAATGCTAAACTTTCAAAATATATCCATCATACCCTGATAGTAAAAGCAGATATACACATAAGTACTCGACGGTGGATCTTTTTGCAGATGCCAGCGTGCATGCTCAGACGAGAGTAGAAAGATCTAGACAAACACAATTATATCCAGAGTCGCCTCAAATCCCTCAAACATCGTGTATGAGAGTCCACGTTTTGCATACTCTCAACCGCGTTCATAGTCTACATCTAAAGCCCTAACCAGTGGCGGACCCAGAAAATCCGAGAAGATGTAGCAGTTTGTTCGAAGGAGCGGCAATCATGGTGAAACTTTGATTTTTGACTCATATTCGAAGTAGTATAACATCTTTTCGAACGTTTTCCAATGTACAAATGTAATATTGAGTCGCATATCTTGAAAAAGAATCTTTATCATACCGAAATAAGTGGCAACGTATGCTAGAATATTTGAATAGTACTCATCCATTGTGGAATGGAATAGTGCATGTAAGGGATCTGATGTAAACGGTAGATATGGCATCCTTTATAGCCGTTATGTTAAATATAGGAGAGTGTGTTACTTGGTTTGAATATGCTTTTTAGCTAAAATCATATTCAAACACGACATTCATTTTGAAATTAACTATAGAAAATGGACTTGATTTCGAGAGACACTCTGTTTTGCTGTTATTTCTAATATAAGCCCAATATTTCAATTTTTGTAGATTTAAAAGAGTTCGTCTTGAGATACATGGATCCAGGAACTAATCTAAAGGTTGTCTATCAAACGGCGGTAGCTATTAAGGAAATTGTGGAAGTCGTCAAAGCTAATCAACAACAATGCAAACGATTAAGCCAAAGGATTGATGCAATCACATCAGCCATGAAAGCAATACCTGCTGAAGAGCTACAACGATATGAACGCCAGAAGTCATTGAATAACTATCGCCATTGCATTGAATATTGTTGTCAATTTGTTACTCAGTTTCAAGATAAAAAATCCTGGTTTACGAAGATCTTCCACAAGCAAAATTATAGAGAAGAATTTGAAGAATTGAACCTTCGACTTACTCAATGTGCTACTGATCTTAATTTAGGAATTAATTTGAAGCAGATTTTCGATCCTGAACTGGATGTAAGCGACCAAGCAACGGATCTAGATGATATTAAAAGTAAACTTGATGAAGTTGCAGAGCTGATGATACAAAAACAAGATGAACAACTTCGATACATTGAAGGAATCGAACAAGATATGGAGGCGCGATTCACTTCGTTTAAGTATCAACTCGAACTGGCTATTTGGAAAATAAGTGACCCTCAGAAAGCACAGAAAATTGTTGAAGAGGAGCATGCTTTTTTACATATTCCGTATTACGATTTAGTACTAGAAGAATGTATCGGACAGGGCGGATTTGCTGATGTATATCGTGGAAAATGGTTGTCACGAGATCATAACGTAGCTATTAAAGTCATTCGAATTCAATATATAGATGAAAGAGTTAAACAAGATATTGTTAACGAAATTTCAATAATGCACCGAGTTCGCCACGATCATATTCTCAATATGTTTGGTGCATGTATGGAGCCAGATAAATATGCACTCATCGTTGAGTATATGTCTCTTGGTTCGCTTTATGATGTTTTAAGACGGCAAACACCACAATTCTCATGGTCCGATCGGTGCTCAATTGCTACTCAAATGGTCAAAGGCATCAATTATTTGCACAAACTCTCAAAGCCCATTATCCATCGTGATATCAAATCATTAAACATCCTTATGACTGAACATGGAAAAGACTTTCTTGTTAAAGTTGCTGACTTTAGTCTAGCTACAATACGTCACGAAACATCACGCCAATCGTCCTATGCGCCATCAGTCGCTACTTTGTTATGGAAAGCTCCTGAATTATTTGTAATGCATGGAAAACATACAACGGCTAGTGACGTATATGCTATAGGTGTTGTATTGTGGGAACTAGCAACAGGTTGCGAACCATATGCAGATATGGATGTATCTATGATATATGTATGTGTTTCACAGGGGCAACGGTTAGCTATTTCTTCAAACGTTCCCAGTTCATTCGCGGAGCTGATTTCAAAAGCTTGGGCACATGAACCAAAAAAGAGACCAACCTGTCAAGAACTTCTCAATTCAATAAAGGAGATCGCCGCAGAACTAGATACAAATAATAAGCCAATGGCAGGTAATCATACTTATGTTTTTTTTACTGTGTTTTCATTAGAGGAATCTTAATGTATAGAAAGTCAGGCGTTTCATAGAATTGAGCTATGGATATACTCTGAACGAGATCAATACAATTCGCAGTAGCTTTCAGAAAAAAGATTCTCTACATATCAAAATAAACTTTTAAATATTCACCTAATCTATTTCTACACTTATGCTGCTTCTGTCAAACCCAAAATTATAACACCTCTACATACAAAAGGTAAGACTCGAAAGTTGAAGGTGTGGGTGTGGATCTCTTCTTTCCCTACACCCATACTCTTCAACACTTTCTCAAAAGTATTTCTTTGTAAACGAGAATAATTTTCCCATTGACTGGTCTTGTGGTCCACCACTGAGATAATTTGGAGTTTACCACGATTTTCTGAAGAGACTTCTTATAAAACCATCGTCTGCGTCTTGCATGATTTTGTGATTGTCTAAAATTTTTATTTAGAACCTCAAGAGTTTGCTGCACCCAGCACGTGCAAGGAACTTGGTTGTAAAGGTCGTATTTGTGCCAAGTGTCACAAGTGCCGCGATTGGCATTTTAGTGGTGATCAAGACCAATGGAACTGGGTCTGCAATTACATGAATTGGACAATGGCGGATGAGACTCGTTGGTTCACTCGTGACACTGTTGACTGTCGTGCTTGGGAGCTTTTTACGAAACGTGATGGTGCAACCTGCCTTGATAGTATTGATCCTCGTGAAGATCCTAGTTTTTTTCTTCATGATCACATATGTCTCTGTGAGGAACACTAATTTTCTTTTCAGGACAAACATAAAAAACGTGTTTGCAACAGGTCTGTTCCTTAACGAATATCTATATTTGAATAAATACGAAGAGTAAAAATAAACATGGGCGGCGCAGGCTTAAATTTCTAGGGGAAACAATATTTTTTAAATTTAGTAGTAATAAAATATTTTCTCATTTCACTACTTAAGCACAACAAATTTTTATTTCTGAAATATTTGTTGTCTTTCATTGTTTTTCAGCGCAAATTCATTTACAGTAATACTTGAATTAATATGAAAACTACGTTCAATGTTTAGTAAAGATAAACTAGATAATCGTTCTTGACCTGTTGTATTCCGAATGTATGTTTTAAGCCTCCATAAGGATGAGAAACTTCTTTCACATTCACATACATTAGCCATCTTGAGGGTGTGGGTGTGAGTGTTGCTTTTCATTCTCATACACACCCACACTCTCTCCAACAAATTCACTTGAACAAACTGGACGAAATTTTGGAGTAAAACTTATCAATTTCGAATAAGGATTTGAAACTTCACTACATCGTGCACTAATTATCGTTGGATAAAGAAATTGATATTTTTCAAAATCAGCTAAGGTTACTTTTTGAATTGTAACACTATGAGTTAAAATACTAACACTTGCATGAATTATAATAATTAATAGAGAAACAAAGAGAAATAAAAGAAATAATCTGGTACCATAAATTTGTTCCGAAGAATTTAATGATGAAGATCAAAATGAATTTGAAGAAAATAAATTTAATTGACGAATTTTACGAATTATATAGAAATAAAATGTAACAACATAGTTTCGAGAAGAACCAGATACGTTTGGATTCATTAATAATATTTACTATATATCTAAAATAACAATTTCAGTTTTGGATATTCAGTGTAATATAAACGTCTTATCTTCATTTGTGGTCAATTTAGAAAAATTTCTAATCGATTTTGTTTCTTAGAAGAACCTTCAAATTCGTTCTTCGTATTATTTTCTTGGAAAATAGTTGTCAACTCGATTAGAAAACAAAAAGAACAGATGAATTATAAGTGAATCCATATATTGAATAGACGAAGGGAATAGTAGGAAATGAAAGAATTTATCATACAGATATTGGTATGATCAATGAGTCTGAAAGAAAAAGATGTTAATAACATTGTTTTTCTTATATATATATATCGTATCGATAAAATCATTTATTCTGTTCGTGTCATTTGATGTTTCACATAGAATTCATCTAATATAAGTTCTCTAGTTTTGTATTATTTTCATGTCGGAATGTTCTAATCGGTTGCTATTTAAAAAGAAGACATATAGACAGTATTTTTTTCTGATAAGAGGAAGAAAATCTGTTAATATAATTGTCATATCTAACCGATTAAGATCCCATGGAAGTCTAACAAATTGTTTCTATTCATTTGACATATAATTAATCAACAAAGTATCTATTTCTTCTTACGTGTTGTTACTTAGAATAAATCAATCACAAAGAGATAGTTAATCAATATCGTTCTTTAATCACAAGTCAAAAATAAAAAAATATTTTCTTCCAACGATTATCAACATCTATCCGAAGAAAAAAAATATTAGATTAAAATCAATTCCTGTAGATTTACTATTTTAATTACCGTTTTTCTTAATCCTCAATGAACAAGCCCAAATATTTAATCATATTTTGTGATTTCTCCCGTCTAGTTTAGGAGAAGTTTGGAAAACAACGAAAATAGTCACAAGCAAAGCAATTGATAGAAAATTCTCTCTCTCTCTCAGTTATTGCGGCATAAATAATAGAAAATTGATGAAATATTTATATTAACAACGTTACTTACCCGTTGGATTTAATCTTATTAATAGAAAAGTTTCTTAATCAATTGAATGCGTTAAACATTATGAACAAATTATTGATTAATCAAGATAATTCTCACAGGATATTTTCGATTAATAGTTGCTTTTCTCAAAAAATTGTACATTAGGTTTATTCAAATTGAAAGCGACTCATTCAATATTATTTATTCATCTGAGAATTAACTTTTCGTGTACTGGAATTAGTTGTTTCTTTACAATTTACTCGTTGATAAAAGAATGAGTATTGATCATAGTCTTTTCTTGAACATTTTACGAAACGTTTATGTACTAGAATTTAAATAGAAGAGAAATATTTTGATGATTTATTTATATTTTCTTCGGTTCTTGTCTGATGAATTATTCACCTATATGTAATCAATGACTTGTTCATTTCTTGAGTAAGATGAGAAGTTTTTTGTTATCCATATAAAAAATAAAACTTTGTTTTTTTATATAAATTCTGAAAGTTAGCGAAACAAAGATGATTAATATCTTTTTCTATCATTTCAAAGATCATTTTTATTATAAAAATATGAAATTGAAATTGTCTGCTTTGTTTTTGAGTTAATGATCTATATTATCTGTTTTTAATCATTTTTCTCAATTTAATGAAGATAAATGGTGAAAAGTCAATGTTTATTGGAGAGAGACATGGAGTATTTATAGAGGGGAAGATAAATAATCATCAAGGGAAAGAGATATCTAGAATGTTCTTTTTAGTCACAATGATATAATGGAGAAGAATTAAATAGGTCAACAGAAAGAATGAAGATAATATATACGTATGAACAACTGGATAGAAAGGAAAGAAAAAAAAGATCTAGACTATAGCTAAACAGAACGCAAAAATGGATCATGCGTACGTCTATAACAATATATTTATATGTGATGTTTCTTTATTTTCTGAAAGTGAAACATCAATTCATATTTTGTTTGGGTTTGGGACATTTGCTCGCAAACGTGATAATCGTTCAATTATAATTGATAGAATTCAGAACAAAAGTAAGACAATTAATTAAGCTGTATGTATAGACGATTGATAATCATTATTTGAGGATGTGTGTGTAGATAAAAAATAGATAGCCACACCCGCACCCTCGATCGAATTTGAGGAAAAAAACAAATTGATCGTATTTTCGAATTAAAGATATTTATTTAATTGAAGAAAAATTGTTATGTGAATAAAATAATTAAAGATCGATTGAAGAAAATAAATATTTGCTGAACATGACAAAAAGCGAGAGGAAGAAGAAGAAGCGACAAGAAAATAAATATTTGTTGATTATATGAATAAAAAATGTTTTTTGAAAAATATATTTATCATTCATCGGTAGATGATTGAACACGATTTGTTTGACGTTTCGAATAAATTTTGATTAATCGAGGTGCAATAAATGTTAAAATAGTGTTCAAACCACCAATTAAACCAATAATAGTTGTTATAACTGTAATAAAATC